GGGCGATCCAGTTACTAGGTTCGAATTTCCTGCTTGCCTCCTCCCTGAAAGGCACATTAAAACAACATAAGTATTACATTTATCTTATGCGACGGGGCGGTTAGTTGAAGCTAACCAAGTGGGTGGGTGTTGGCCTTTACTTTGTAGCGTCCCGAGACTCCCTGAACACGAAAGAAGACACAATACTTGTGCAAAATATATATATTTAGCACAGAGAAGGTGTCTGGGCTATTGGCATGGCCCAAAAGGCCGGCCCACCCATCGAGGTACAAGGGGGCTAATTCTAAGTATAAAGGCGGCGCCTCACCAGAACCGAGGGATAAACCACTACCGTATTACACCTTTGCCTTTTGTAACCTGTAAGCTTCCACTACCTTCTCGGAAAAAAGATGTCGTCATCCATTCATTCGACTTGTTTAGAAGGCTTAGTCACATAGTTGTAGGAGAGAAACAGAGAATCGTGTTAGCGCTGGCGAACCTTCTCTACCCAGAAACTGAGATGGCTTTTAAAAAGCTGTTTGAACATCCTACAGCCCATCTTTGCTTTTGATCTTAGCACCAAATAACACGACAGCTCTCACCTCAGAATTTGTGCTTACTCACTGCAACTGTCGGGCTAACCGCAGATATGGAATCGTCACCCCTCAGAGATTACGGGCGTCATTTAGAGATCTTTTCCACCGTAATTGAAAGGCAGAAGAGGACGACGAGGAGTATGCAACAGATCTATAAAAAATGAAAAAAAAACATTTAAGTTGTTTGCCTACAACCAATATCCGAAAATAGATTACCGGCTAATTTAGGCACAGGTTCCCCCACACACCATTGTTGAGAAACTCCGCAGCACAGACACCAACTTCCCCAGCGACTTGATAAGGTTTGAAGCGAAAACATGCTAGAAGTTGGCTACTACTCCGCATTACTACTTCCATAACGGTCGACAAAACCTAACGTCCTCCTATATGGGCTCTTGCGTCACGTCCCACGATTGGGTGAACCCTTCTACCCTCTGTATTACTTACTTCTAGATGACTCCCATCTGTTCCTATAAGCCCCATCGTGCACATAAAGAGGATATTAATGACATTTCCCCTTTGACGCTGGTGTGATTAGATCAATAGCAAACCACAGGGCTTCCTTGCCTCTTTACCAAAAGGCTAAATCGGTTCTGCTGTCCAACACGCAATAACAGAAGGGAAGATGGTAGTAGAAGAAGAAGCGTTGTCGCATGTCATCATAGCCAAGGAAATCAGCATAGTGGCCATTCTCTTGCGTTTAAATTTGCCTTGAAATGAAACACTGGGGACCATTAAAGTTGTTCCGAATTTTGACTCTAGCACTTTCCATGCAAAGTTACTGTAAAGATGATAGCTCTTTGTCTCATTCGAAGCCGCAGCAATACGCATATAAGCCCAGATATCCATTATTAGTAGCTTATCCGCGTCACCGGCAATGAGTCGAAACAAGTTCAGCAGTTGCTGGTTAATCACACGAGCATATTCGCAGGCAGGTTGTTGGGCTGGAAAGAACAGTAGAATGAAGCATGATAAACACTGGCGAGGATAGGCCGATCTCTGTGCCACTCAGGCGCATATCCCTCCGACTAATAGGATAGGCAGACCATCTTTTTGACGAGATGCTCAGAGACGAGGTTATAAAGCCACCAAAAGCATTATAAGTATCACCGATTTCTCCGACGGTAAGCTAAACGCGGCAGCAAGGAGGCATGTCTTTCCACCACCTTACACGGGTGAATGTGGTTCTTCGCGTTAGATTTAGCAAAGCTTTATCAATTCCAGACGGCGCCTTTTCGAATGTCTAATGTGGTGACCACTTTCGAATACCTTATACAAAGCGTGCTGATTGGACTCTACCTAAAATGTTATGAAATGTAAATAGATGACGAAATTGGCTTCGATTGAGGTACTTGTGAGCATAGCGCCAACCAGCAATCGAGGTTAGGCCGCTTTTGAAACGCAAACTTGGCACTAGCCTGAAAAAGACGACTATCCCTGCTACGCTCATTTTAAATGTTGGGGCAAACTGGCTCATCAGATGGGATGCGTTTATTGAAGCCTGCATAAATAGAGGTTCTAATCAAAGCCAACCAGTCAGACGAAGCTTCGTAGTTTCCTAAGTTTAGCGGGTTGCTATGGTCGTTTTGTGGAAGACTTCGCTAAGATCGCAAGACCACTGTATCAATTGATGAAAAAGCAGACGAAAGCCATTTCAGTTGAGAGAGCACGGTGAAGAATTCAAAGGAGGGATGCAAACACTTTGCTTTGCATCGCCTCCAACATTCCGTAATTTCGAGCCAAGCGCTCCACAATTCGTTATGCATCCCGATGCTGACGGCACAGCCGTGGGTCATGTGTTCGCACTAAAGGATAGTGGAGGTAGGGAACGCGTCATAGCCTATGTGAGCGCCAAACTCAATGGAGAAGTGAGGCTGAAAAGTACGACATAAAGTGAACTATCCGCTATTTCCGCAATGTCCATCCGTTTCAGGCTACTTGGTAGTGAGGAAGTTCATAGTTAGAAAACCTTATCAGGCACTGAACTGGTTGGAAATAATGAAGAAAGGCTGTTCACTGGCGCGTTGGTGGGATTAACTGAGACAACACGAATTCACAGTACAGTACAGAAAATGCACAAATCTGGTACAGCTGAATCCGCTGTATGTCACTGTATCACAGATAAGCAACGAGATGCATCCAATTTTGAGATGATGCGTCCTGTGTCTTCGCCGAAGTCGTAATGAGGCAGAGTAGTTTGGGAGGACATTATTAACGTACAAAGGACTTGAGATGGCACTAACATGCTATCCTCGTATTTTCAGTGTTAATAGTAGGAGAATTTGCTGTTCTGACATTTTCTTACAGTAAGTACGATTAAAATGGTTAAAGAATGGTTTCATCCGGTTAGTCTGTTTTGGGTTTCGGATGTTTGTCTTCCATGGGATTGTAAGTTGCCATAGCAAAATGGATACCAGTAAGTCGCATAGTGAGAGAACCAAATATAATGCGATTTTGTAACTTTTACGCCATGCCAGTAGCTCCCAGCTCTTCTGTGCGACTGCAATACATCTTGTGATACTATAATTTCCTTTCTATTAAAGGAGGACTTGGGCAGCTACATTAGTCGCAACGGTAAACGAACAGGATCCTAAAGGACAATTGCCCAGATTTCTACTGCTAGGTGGTAAATCTTGCCGTGATGGGGGAAGAACGTATGCTACGGGTGAGAGAGTGGGTTGCGACCATTAAGAGAAGGGTTTAAAATAGCGTCTACTTCCGCTAACTACCCCGGTCCCGTGTTCTGCTGGAATGCTTTCAATAAGCGAGGCGACGCCGGCGTGAGCCACCTAAAAATGCTCGCTAAAGGGCCGCACACGGTACCTGTATACTGGTATCACCGATGTGGGTACGCAACACCTTTATTGGGTTCTCTGGGTTCTATCACTCCAGCGAGAAATTGCTGGGCAGCTTTGATTTGCGATCGGTGGATAGGAGTAATAGACGCGAAGCATTATCCTCATGAAACCAATTTAAACCCCATCCTTTGTTAAATAACTGCCTTCAGACCAGTATTCCCATGACTGGCCGTGGGCCTCCGTGATGGCCACTGCATTCCCCCTTACCCGATTCCATTTCCCATGAAAGATAAAGCTCTAGGTCCAGCAGAATTGCCAAGAGGGATCAGAGACGTTGCAGTAAGACATCGTCCCTGTTTTACGCAAATTCGACAATTTTCACGTTTGGGTAGTGGGCGTCTCTGAGGCGGAGTACGTTGTGATGACCAGCAGGGGAGGTTGACCAAGGGGAGTGCTAGGGGAGTCCTCAGTCCCCCCTAGATAAAAGAAGTCATATATTATTGTAATACGATAGTGGTTTATCCCCCGGCATTGGTGGAGCGCCACTTTTGTACTTTGAATTAGCCCCCTTGTACCTCGCTGGGTGGGCTGGCCTTTTGGGCCATGCCAATAGCCCAGACACCTCTGCGCTTAATATATATTCTGCCCGAGTATTTTGTCTTCTTTCGTCTTAAGGGAGTCCCGGGACGCTACATTATGGCAGAATACGTACTGCGGAGGTACGCAATGTCGGTGGCTGCTTGAACGGGCTGGAAGTTAAGCTGTCCAGGGAAATTGCAACGTTGAAGAATAGGGTAATCGCGGGATCATAACCAGGAGTTAAACAAATGAACATAATTTTACATTACGTTCGCAGTGTAAATACAACATTTGCTCTATTTAGGAATGGAAAGTGGAATTGCTTCAGCATTGTTTACACTGAATAGTTTTCCAATAACAGCTTCCTGTGGGTAAGGGCCAAATCAATAGAGGATTTATTTAAATGTCATAACTGATTTGTCTTCGATGAAATATATATTTTATTTAACTTTTCAGGACGTGTTTGTTTCTTGCGGTTCGCTAAAATTTTTACTTTCGCAGATCTTCTCATTGAATTGGTAGCAACAGATTTCCCTGAATGTAGTTACTTTAGAGCACGGAAAATTCATATAAACACTTGATTTCGCGATAATAAAACACTAAATAACAACAACCCAAAATGCACATTCCTTAAATGTGTCACGGACGCGTAAGGGCAAATTTTTGAAGCCCAGCCCTTGCATGTGCTATAAAGCATTCAGGCATTAAAAATGTTTTAGTTTAATCATTTTCCTACAACCTTACCATTGTCGTGAAGTTCACTAATCACCTTCATAATTTGTTGCCACTTAAAAATAAAACACTGCAATTAAATGTTAGAACAAAAGCGAAAACGTATGCGAACAATCCATGCAATTGTTTATTCATCTATCAAATTTGAGTACATCAACTTAAAGTCTTTTTTGGGGTAACCAATAAAAATGTTAGAATTAGAAGGCTTGTTTGCCAGCTGACTTCTCTGTTCATTTTTTCTGAGCCGTCTCGAGGTTGGTTGCCTCCCTTGCCATTTGAGTTATATCGTGCATTTTTGAGATCACAAATGTTAGTCTAGTCAGGGTCGGTCTTAACTATGTGGACTAGGTGTTTCTCTGACGAATTGTGCATTTAATATTAGTTATCTCTTTAACTGTAGGTTAGTTCTAGAGTTATCAACTGACCACGCTTGGCATGATTTTCGTTAATCGCGCAATGCCTTTGTGTGAAACAATGCCTACTTGGTAGTAGTTGAATTTATTACTCCATGAAGTGCTAATTTGGCAGTGAAGTACCTATGTGGGTGTTTGCATCCGCGTTTGCAATAAGTTCTGATTTCATAAACATGATGAAACTAGGTTCTCCTGCCTACTGTTGAGCAAATTCTTCGCTTACTCACCCGAGTTACTCTTTCCGTGCATTCAAACTGCCATCTTTTTTGCTACCTTTCATGTAAAATGCAGTTGAATACTTGCGGTTTCCGGAAAGTGAAGTCTAGTTTTCCCACGTACCATTTCACTTACAAAAGCTTTGGCCAATTTAGTTTGTAGTTATTCTTCCCTAAAATCCCTTAAACTTGCAGTAAGCGTCGGTACTAATAGCAATTATTTTTGGTGACCTTGCCACTCCTGCGGTTGCACTTATGCAACGTTATTGATGCCATAAAGAAATTAGGCTTCAGTTATTTCATATTCTTGAATTTAATTCTGCGCTAACGCAGCTGTGTGACTACTTCATTATTTTGTTATGAGTTACTCTTTTCATGGATTACTTCTTTGGCTTCATCCCACTTTTTCAGCATTGGCATGATTGCACAATGCTAGCCTCGTCATCCAGTGACGATGAACTTGATGATCGGCAGCAACCACCTCCGAGTGCGCCCACAACCCACGTCACAGGCTGTGGTGGTGTTGGACGTGGACACAGGGCTATCGGTAGTCGAGCTGCTCCTGGTGCTCATCCCACAGCACCCGGTCAAATTATAAGGAAATCTCAATCACCACTACAACAGCAGCAAGCGAGTCAGCCTAATGGGGCACGGCGCTCCCAGACTCGTCATCAGATCTTCTCTCCAGCTTCCTCCCGTTCCAGCGTTCGTTCTAACGACGCCTGTGATAACACAAAGCATAGGTCAGTAAATTTTTGTTTTCAAATTTCCCAATATCTGGAAGTGACATGGAAAATGGACTAAATTAAGCTAACTGAATCGTTACACTTTTTGTTATGGTTTTTATGCCATGTCGTGGTTTTACAGTGTAATTTCTTCCATTCTTAGGGAGTTGAAATCATTCGCGTTAAACATCTTTCAAGTAGCTTTTGTCAAACTTTGGGTTTTTGCATCAGCTTGGTCTTGAGCGAAGCCTTTGGTGAGCAAGGTATGATATATGTGTTAATAATGAGCAGTGGGTGGTGTGCGCCAAGGTTAAGCCTGGCCTGCGAGGATTCAAAGAAACCCTTCTCTACACTATTATTTAAAGAAAAAATCGCTTGCATGAGTTTTTGTTTCATGTTGTTACTATCGTTGTCGCTATTGTTGTTGTGTGCTGTCTTCTACATTAGGCATCACTCGCCTGTAGCTGCTCAAACCTGGTACCGGCTCTTTCACAGCCAATGGAAGAACCAACGCTCCTTGGATTTTCGGAACCTTCCCCTTTTCATTCTACTCTTCAAAAATGATAAAATACCTAGTGTCGCATGTATTGGTGTGCTCTTACGTTTTTTTTTCATGCAAAACGCGAGTAATTTACGACCAAGACTAAAATAACGCTTAATACCTTCTAATTGCAAGATAGATATTCAGAAAAGTGGTTACATCCCAAAGCCAGCACCATAGTAACGGTTTAAAGTTGCCATCCTTGCAATTAGGATCTGTGTGGTTATCTGTTAGAAATCTGGCTTTTTCCTATGTTAATCTACTATATCGCATGGTAGTTGGAGGCCATTCTTCGCCCCTCTAAGCAAAAATGTCAAAACATGGAGCGTGTCAATAATTCATTTGGGAATTTTTCGTTAAATTCAGGATGCTGGGGAATTAATAAAGCACATTTTGCTTGTGATAAGTTACAAAATTATTTGGGTCTTTAGGTCGTAATTCTCCCTTTTTTTTCAGTTGTAATTGTTCGGTATAATTACACCTACTTACCATTCTTGGAGGGAATCTTGAGAGTAAACTAAGAAGGGTGTTGTTTCTAGAGCAATTCGGATGCGATATCGAGTGGTACTACTAGACTAGATTCGCATTATATGACTTCCCAAGTTCCCCTAATGAGGCGGTCTCGTACTGCATTAGATGAGGGGTTGTTCGTAGGGGCAGAGATTGGGGGCTGTACCTACTCAAGGTCTCCATCATGAGTCGCTAATTTGAGGTTTGCCTAAAAGTCCCCGTGTTCTGGTTTGAGAGTCTCGCCTCCTTTTTATAGATCTTTTTTCATTTTGTCATGTATTAATCAGTTAGGTTTTGTGGTTCTGTCCGGAACTTTGTGCTGAGTTGACCCCTTACCTAAGCCGTCTCAAGTTGTAGAACGCAAGGCCTTGACCAACCTTGTTTTTTTTTAGCTACTTTCAGTGTTCCTATGCGATAGGCTTGTAATAAACCATTCCACAACCGTGTTTAAATGCATAAACCAGTGTTGAGTGAAGTTTCGATAAACGACGAATCCTGGGCGCATATTTATGTTTTTTTAGAAAATTGATTTGGTCAGCTTGTGGGAGGTACTTCCATCGCGTTTCTATTGTCCGAAGTTTAGCAGTCAAAATCTTTGGGGTTGGAATGTTTTGCCTCACTTCGCGCTTCCACACATGGCATATCCGAAAAAAGGTTTGAAACCCACCGGGATCAAACTGATGGAAATCAGTGAAAATTTGAAAGCCATTAATAGTTTCAGGAGTTGCACGAGGTTAGCTTTTACCGGCTTTGTCCCTTTTGATTTAGCATACCATTCAGCTTCAGGGGTATGCTTTCTACTAAATGCTAGCTCGGCTAAGAGTTCGAATATCAGTCAGTATATTTTCCAGCATTTACTCTCTTTTCACTAACTGAGCATAAAAGCCTCAGATTTGATCTTTTGAACTTCGTCTCATCTAATCTTCGGTGGTTAGTCGCTCTTGAGATTCCATGTCGGAGCAGGTAGAGATGCTACAATCTCCTACCACGAATAGGTTGTCGATAGAAGTCGTCTTAGATTCACTTGTAGACTTCGTTAAGTGCGCTATTTCTAATCTAAAAGTAACTTAATAACACACAAGGACGCGATTATTGGGGATCATTTAAACTTGTTCCTACTTTCAGCTCTAATTCCGACTTAGATTCGTTGCAGGTGTTGAATGTGAAGGTCGATTCAGTTCACTCTTTCCCCAACATCTTCATTATTGTCGCTCCACGCTATTCGTAGAGTTTGTACGTTCAGCAAAACTAACAAAAATATGTTCTCCTTCAAGTCACCCTCACTAGGGCAACCTAGCTAATCCACGCTTAATTAGGACTTAAAATGGTGAAAGGGTTACGAGTTTTAGCTCAATTTGGCCACAATTGCCATCGTGCCAACTGATGGAATAACAACAATAACAACAGTAAGCTCCCTATAAAGTTAGATTAAGATTGGTTTATTTTATCAGGGATGATTCTGACCCATTAGTCAGGTGTTGCTACCTAGGCAGGTCTTAAACGGATTGGAAATGCGTTAAATGAAATGGGCGAAGCCATTATTAACAACTTCAATGAATGTCAGGGTTGGAAAATGGCAGTTTATTGTTCGTCTTTCATTTAGTTTATGAGCATGGTTCTACAGTGGTGCTGTAAACCCCTTTATTCGATGCCCTTTCTGACAGTTGTAATCTAACATTCGCTTCCACTGTGGGAGAATAAACTGATCCCCATAATTGTATGCTGACAAGCTAGCTTTAAAAGAGTGCAGGGCATTGTGACTTTCAGCATAGCTACACTTTGATGGCAGCAGTATCGGCTTTTACCTCCCTTTGAAGTTACATTTTGATTGCACTCATGTTACAATGAGAGAGTCAAATCTTTTTACATCAAACTTTCAAGGAAGCGTGTGTTACTGTATTTTTGTGTGCCGTGATGTAGTTTGTGGTTTCATTCTCTTAAAGTTGCCCTACTACTGTCATGTATGTGCAGGATTTACTTGGCATGGAGGTGAATTTGCGAGATTTTAGCTTTATAAAGAAAGTGGGGGATTGTAAAAATAAAAGTGCAAGAAAATCTAACTAGTTCCATTCGTATTTGGTTCCGAATGTCATTTTCTTCCAAAATTTTATTTAAAAATTGGGGCCTTTTTTCTAAATTTGAAAAAGCGAGTTTAGTTTGGTTAAGAATGGCGAGAGTACCTCATCCTTGGTCAATTTCACAAAGCATGGACTAGCGGATTGATCTGATATAATTATCCCTCTATTTATCTTTCTTGCTAGCACTGTCGTCGAGTATTAATAAATCTTGAGAGCTTCGAGTGATAGGTATAGATGCATTTGTATGCGATCGCTTGCTTATCCGTGGTTACCAAGATCTGTGAAACTCGTGAGACCCACAATGGATGCGCCTAACATGTTTTTCGTTGACGTGCATCAAAATCCGACTAGGCAAAGTTAGGATTCATAGATTTTCAGGCATGATAGTGGCGGAACACCTTTTTTTCAAAATCAACCGCTAATATTTTCGTTCCAGTTGACTATGGTGATGTCATATGCCCTGTTACACGAAGCCATCCACAATTGGGAAACAGGAGGACCTTTTAAGCTCATAGAGTAATCCCTTTTCTAGTTTGGCTTCTGGATATATACAGCTAACTTGATTGAAATTTAATCCAGCTCTTAATAAGGAGTTCATTCTGGTAGATTTGGTACCCTTTATTCCTTCATCTCAGTCGTTACACACATCATAAAGAAAATGACTGTTTACTGAAGATTTATTTTCCCCATTTAATGTATTCTGTTTCAGGTAGCAGTCTTCAGTGCGCCGTAAATTATTAATACAAATTTAATCTCTTCCTTGAGCCTCGTAAAAAACTCATTGAAATCCTGTCGAAGTGATGTGATTCTATCAGAATTATGGACTAGACTGGCTATGGAGTAAGGAAAAAGAGATGAATGGGAGGGAATGATAAATTATTCACTTTCAGTCTTAGTATCAGGAAAAAAACAATAAAACGATTAATGCTTTGGAAACGGTCGGCCAAAATAAGTAAGCATACCTATGTGGATGGTTGTAAGGAAGCTCACTCATCGCATCCATTGCTTCATGTGAAATCTTGCAATTTAACCTCACTTCGGAAATCCCAGGGACAAGGCATTGCCTTCTTATTTACATCCCAAAGAAACTTGAAATCAATTCATCTGGGTCCATGGCCGGGCACTTGCTAAGCATAAATGATGGAGTTGAGAATTTCGCCGATACACTGCGCATATCATCTCCTACTTCTTTTCACTTCCTCTTTTCCATCCTGAGTAAGTCCTGGGCCAAATTTTGCGGCCGACAAAAAAACCTCGCGCATAATTTTCCTCCAACAATTTTACTTTACTAGTCACCGTTGGTCAAGAATGCGTCCATTTATTCACAACTAACGCGAAAAGCTCATTTTTCGGTAAAAGTTGCGTTAAAGGAAACTATAATAAAACCAAATGACAAGCGGATTCCATTATTTAGTTATCGGACTAAGTACTTAAAGGAAATACTTTTAGAAAAGGACTGTTCGCTACAATTTATTCGTTAATAAGCCGAATAAAGTGAAGGCATTTTATGGACTTTTTAAGTGCCTCTGGCCCACCACATAATTCGTTCGTCCAATAGGCTATTTATATCCCTTTACTTCTTGAATAAATCACAAACCCAGCCTATTAAAATTATCATTTGACGTTGGCTGTGCGAAGAAGTCTGGCTAGATAAGCTGGAAGTACACAACACAATACATTTTGCCTATAGGATTACCCAATTTTGAATGAGAGGCTAAAAAAGCAGAACTGAGATCTCTACAATATGAAGCCAACAAGCCAAATAACCTTCTGCTTTAGATTTTATCTAATTGTTAAAACGACGGCTGTTCTACAAAGTGATGAGAAAGGTGTTTTCTGTCTACTTTCTTGCACAGATGAGCTCCCCGCGACTGTGTGAAAGGTGGCTTCTCCCCCACTAAATCATCCATAGTATGAAGTTGGTGGAAAGAGGTCACGGATTCAGGGAAGGCTGAAACGATAATTTAAAGCGGTTAAAGCGACTATTTTGTGCGAATTAAGTATATAATTAAGCATAACAAATTGTGAGCTCATATCCTTTTTGTGCATGTCTACAATATGCAAATACGTTACAGCATTTCTTCCATCGATAAAATGACAAGTTCTTCACAACACTAAGTTGTATCTAATTTACTGGCTTTTTCGCTCTCTAAAATAAAAGAGCTTATTAAGTTTGGTTACCATTCGCTTCTTGGCCATTTGCAAGCACAAGATATAGGATTAAGTGCAATTTACAATGTCCCAAACAAGGCATTAATCATTGGTGATTAGCCTTTCCCCATGAAAGTCACATTGCATGAGGGCTATAATATTACCAAATAAAGTATGAGAATTCACAAGAGAAAACAATGAAGGTGTTTGGAATATTAGTTAGAAATTTGAACAAATTGAAGAGCGACGATGCGATTTTGTAGTTTGCATGTAATGACAGAACAGTTGGATCAAGTGGTTGTGAGCCTTAATGCCATGGTTTTGACAACCAAAGCCACTTTTGCCATTTCCATCATAACTGTGAAATTTAACTAAAAAGTTTAAAAACAGTTTTATATGTGAAGGCAGATTAAATAAATTGGACGCATAATGCCTACCCTGTCCTCTCTACGCTTGACGAAACTAGTCATTCGTCGGAAGGTCTTCTCATCCCATTTTACCTTTTCTGACTTTATTATCGCTGAAAACCGCCCCGGACACGTAAAACCACGGCTACTGCTTTAAGTGGCAGTAAAGTCGAAGCTAGACCACTACAATTTTTCACTAGACCTCTTCGGTAGTTCCTACATTTGCATACCTCCTATTCAAACTTAGGACTGTGGAACAGTGTACAAGGATGTGAGCACGGTCGGTTGAATTGAACTTCTTGAGGTTACGCAGTCTTAACACCCACTATGACATTGAAAAGTAAAGTTTAGCAATGAGACAAGTCATAATTACTGCTGCGGTTCCTCACTTGAATAATTCGTTGTTATTCTTTTGACTTCCAAAGGAGAAAATTGTTGAAAGAGCATTACTTTCTCATTAGCTATATAAAAACCCTTCTAGAATGGCGAGTGACCACAATTTTGATTAATTAGGATATAATTAACACGTCAAAGTCATTGCCACCCCATGTCTTTGAATGCTTTTTACCCTAAACTTCAACAAATAATTTTTCTATCGACCGGTCCTACTGTTGTCACGATTTACATGGACACTGATATAAACAAGCCCAATGAAATCATGGCAAACATCAAAAGCCCTTTTTGTTGATACGGCTGATCGTAAAGGTGACAATTATGCTAAAAAGCAGAAGACCACAGACAGGTGCAAATGACAATAGACTCAAAATAACGACTACAGACATCGCTTAAGATATTCGTCAACAGACAGGTGCATAAAAGCAAAGAAGATGGTGAATTTAATCCAAAGTTTTCACCTCAGACTGTAATTTGCATGACGACTTCATACCATTCTGATAATATTCGGAACTTATTTCAAAATGTTTGCATTGTCGCATTTGGCATTGTGTCGGGCGAAACACCAACACCATTCAAGAATGTTGCAAAGCCACATAGTTTGCTCCTCAGCCAGGTTTCTGCTACACGCCTTTATTAATTAAATCTTTTGCAAAAAGTTCGTTTTTAACAAACTTTTATAAATGCCATAGAGTCTGCCTGGTTTCGCCATCGAACTTTTACCTACATGAAGGCGATAACCCAGTGTTAAATTTTTTATTAAATATGAAGTTGTTATTCGTGTCACTTCTTGCCATCTCCTAATCTACTTTTTGATCGCTTGTCATCGCTTGTTTTAAACGCTATACATAAGTTATTTGGTAGTCTTCCTCACGTTAAAACATTAAAATTTCGCCTCTGGCATTTGTGATTGCTCAGGACAAATAGCAAATAAACTGCGGATACACACAGTGAATCTGAAAACTCCTGTCGGTGATTGATCACATTGTCAGTGGCTGTTTAAGTCAGTTGAGGTAATTAATTTGGTGGCATGTCCCATATTTGTCTTGCCTTTTTCACCCTAATAATTTAGTAATATTAGCTCTAAGAAACTACACTTTCTAAACAATATTTTCTAACTGCAAAGGTGTATAAAGTATGTTGAGAAAACATTCGAATGGTAATTTAATTTTGAGCTTGTAGTGATCGCCTATCAACCACTTTGAGTTAAGTGTCCATTTGATATATTTCTCTTATTTATATGACCATAAGAATGATGTATTTCGATCAGGTTTATTCATCAAGTCGTTTACTTAATAAATGCTAGTGAAATTAAATGAAAACAAACTACTACAGGTATAGTTTATGTTTAATGACGAGCATGAAACTGGGTATTGGACTGTTACTCCATATTTCTATATCGAGTAATACTGAAACGAGCTAGTGGTTCAAGAAATGCCCAAAGAAATAGGTAACGTTCTTCCAATGTAAACATGACTTCATCCCTCCATGTGCGTACCAGAAAGTTAAAATCTAAACGGAAGACATGGTCAAATAATCACATTAACAACCCAGAAACATACCCTAGAAAATTTCTTAGATGGAAAGCAAACCACGTTCCGCACTCAGTGAAGAATTGACGCATTTTACTCGGCATGAATAAGGGTGCAAGAACGGTAAAGAATAAAGTCTTTACTGTTTTGCATTTAAGGCGCAACTTCTGAGAGAATTCTCAACAAATTTCACATCTCAGAATAGGCATGGATTTAACTCAACCTAGTAGAGAGTAAGTATAACTGAGGAAGGCTGGAACAATAAGGTATCTTCCTCTTGCTTTGATTGGGAAGACGTATAGACGTTGGTTTTTCCCGCAATGTAGCCCATCTCTCAGCCGCAGCAGGTTCTATGTCGAAAAACCGCCCCAAACACGCAAAAGAAGCATTAGATAAAAATGTAGAACGCCATTGACCTTTTGAAGCCATGACTTATTACCTGTCGGGAATGGGTAGCTTTATGATACCGTAACATCAGAAATTCCCTTTGCTCTGAGGTAAAGACACGCATGCATGCTAAATTAATGGAATACTATCGAAAATATTAGCCAAAAACAAATTTTTCTTGCAGATTTGTTTTCATTCCTTGAGGCTCTAAAAGTTTTCATGCTTGCAATTGATTAACGCCACGTATGAGAGGGAACAACTCACCGGACGACTGGGGCATATTTCATCAGGGTTACATTTCATCACTTGAGATACCTACTTGAGTTCGCAAAATGCTATACAAAGGCTTGCAAAATTAATTGAAAAGTGTTTTTTTTTGGAAAATAAAGATAAACCACTGTACCACGTAATTCAATAAGTGAGGATTGAAGTATGAGCTGAACTTTATCATTTTCTAGTCACTAAAATTAACAATTCTACAGGTATCAGCAATCAAATGTCATGCTTTTAGATGATCGTGTAACAATTTTTTCTGTTCTGAACACAACTTTCTTTCTTTGCTTTAGGAAAAGGTATTTTCAAAGAATGCTCCTCCTCACTCTTAACCATCTCGAAAAGCTTCGCACAACGTAGCAATTTGAAATACTTGTTAGCCAATCCGACTTGCAAAACCCTCCGCTAGGCATAATTGCAAATCCATTTTGTCCATTTTGCAGAAACGAGCTTAAAAATAGGAAACTGACTTGTAACAAATTATTGATAGAGCAAAATGGGCCATCTTCTTCTAACAGGGACTGTTTGATTTTGACGGCAAAATGTAGCAAACCACGACGGAGCACAAAACATGGTCCAATTTACATAAAGTACTAATACTTAACACAATTCAAAAGTATGCTCTTCAGCTTCCAATGTTTTTTGATCTTCCTAAATTAATCCCAATTTTTTGTGAATGAATTGCCCCAAGGAGATATTATTGTCCGAGTAAAAGCCGACCTATGTAACAAATAGCAGAAGTGAAATTCATAAATAGAAATGCCTACGCAGTGTAGTGTTATTTGAGGATTTAAATCATGCCTCACAGATTTTGGTAAAACAAAGGAAGAGGTAATACCTGCATTGAGGCTATTTACAGTATTAACCAGATTCATTAACAGGCACAGATGATATCAAGGGTAAATGGTGTGATTTGCTGTGTAACTCCTTCTTTTGTTTAAAACAAGGGATTCTTTGATTAGTGTGGAATTGTTCTTCCGTGGGAAAAAAGCGCATTATTCTCCATATCTAGCATGGGCAGTTGGAAAATTACAGGTAGACTTTCTCAATGGTTTATTCCTATATGAGGTAGGAAATGTCTAGATAAAAGAAGCGAAAGGAAGTAATTACGCTGCTCTATTTCCAAAAAATATGGCATAGCCAAAGCCTCTTAATTTCTCCTGAAGTCACTAAAGGGTATAGAGTGGGGCTAGATGACAAGTGTGGTCAATGATATGAGTAAAATTGGACACTACCAGAGTTGAAAATTAAGGTTGAATAAATAAAATGACTGCACAGGCCACCTGTTCTTCGCACTCGACCTTCAAGAACAGAAGAGAAGTATCACATCGCGAGGCAGGTGGCGGCTTTAGCACAACGTCGGTGGGAACTAATTTAGCTCATTGGGATGCGTTTTCCTGCCTCTGTTAGTACACTCCTCCAGTTGTTGGTGGTCAACAACTTAGTTCTCACTTGTCAAATTCGGGATAAGAGTCTACTAGACGGAAACGTGGGAACCGTCACGCCCTAAGGAAGGACTGTGGTGAGTGGGGCATGACAATAAAAGTACTTAGTTTCACATCATTTCATTTAAACAAGGAAAGATAAAAACCTGTTCCCCTCTTTGTACAGGAGTGCAAAAATTACTTTTGGCATATCAAAAATACAGTAGGCAAATGTTTCCCAACATGATGAAGGAATTTCAGGCAGATTTTTACCTTATGGTCAGGACGTGCGTGGAAGCCAAGGAGATAACCAAAGTGCCCAGCAGAAAAACCTAAAGTCAGGGTGTCTTTACTCTGGGCGAAGTCTTTGGTCAGTAAGAATTCATCTAAAATGCTAGTTGCTTGTCTTTTCACTGTGTTAAAAAGACAATTCCATGAAATTATGGACCTAATTATAACCTTGGTATCGTTCTACAACGTAGGCACAAATTTCCGTTTTTTGGCTTATGTATTGCTCCAAACCAGATGTGCCTGCGCTAGGTGAACATCATTTCAAAATAAGTTTTGCCTTGCCAATTTTTGCTCTTTAATATCCAAGTTGTTGTGTTAGAAACACTTTTATACCTCAAATCTTTACGAAACATAAATTACGAATGCTGTAGACCCTTGTCCTGAAAGCCTAGGCATTAAGCGAAGTCAATCGCAGTAGTTGGGTGGTACGAAATGGAAACGGGTGCTTTACTTCAGCACAGCTATTTTACCGGTAAAAGTATCGGGCAATCATCAAATTTGCACCCGGTAGGTGCCATTAGATGCTGCACCTTTGCATTTTGTGTCGCATTTATAGATGCTCTAACTATTGTTGGTGTATTGCACGATAAGTATGTTAACGAATGCAAACCAAGAGATTTTTATACTTTGATTGTTGCGCATTTATTTACTAGTTTGGGTGCATACTTCTTACCCCAACGTAAACCTTCTATTCCCTAATAATTTATTCATTTTCAGGTAACGCATGGATATATTGCTCATGGTGTTAATTTTTGGCAACATCAACGCCCTTTATTTTAACATAATAAAGTCTGAAATAAATCCCAAAAAAATAAGAAGTTGGCTTTATTTTACCGCTGCGGTGGACATTTCTTGATATTCTTTTGTAGCCAAACCCCACACGATTTATAGCAGGCGAAGTTTTATCATCACGCATCATGCAATAAACCTGCAAATTGCTTTGTCCAACCAAAATACTTGCAACAGAAGGTCAATGCAGCTCACTTTTTGCTTGCACATAACATTTTTTTTCAATTAGTTGCCACTTAATGATAATTTTTTGTAAATAGCTTCTAGACGTCATGAAGCATAGTAGAATGCAGGCAATCAAGCTTAATATACGTATTCTGATTGCTAGGAAAAGTTCATTAATACCGGTTACTTGTCCATGTCTATTTCCTTTATCTTTATACAGAGGTGGCAATCAGATACAGAAACAATACACGACTGACATAGAGGGGGAGATGGGCGATGGCGGTGGGGACAGAGCTTCCTCCTCATCCTCCGCCAGCCTTAACAACTTCAACTCACCTACAAGGGATCGACGTGATGGAGCTAAGCTGGGCATCAACAGCGTCTCCTCTGCAGTCAGTCTGCCCAGCGAGACGCGTGGTCGCACAAGCGGTGTCGGCAGTGGCGATAGCCCTAGCTCATCCACTACCTCCTTCCCCTTCAACCAACAACAACAACTTGGAACTCAGAGACGCACCAGAACCTCAGCGCCAGCAATTCCTGAGACCCCCACCAATCAGGAAGTCAGTGAGAAGGAGAAGCAAGAGCTTGATCGTGAGACGCGCCTTGAAATGTAAGTTGGAAAGGTCTATGGATTGGGTGAGAATTATATGTATATGAAATAAATAGGTTAATGATAGTTGATAGATGGACGGATGGACAGGGACGTAAATGCACAATGCATTGAGAACCTGCTGTTTAAATGATTGACAATGCAAACAGCTGTTCAAAATGCAAGTGAGGGTCAGATTTGAAAATATATGACATTTTGCTTCTCCTGGAAGAATCGTGAGCATACTGTATTCAGATATTACACGATGTTTTGTTATGAAATAATGGGAAAAAGTGCTTTAAATGACATTAAAAAATTTGAGTAGGTTAGTGTAAGCCGTGGATCATGCTTCCGTTCCCTTATGGACGCAGAGGAAACTTTTGATGTCAGTTATTGCTTGGATTTATCGAAAAATTAGACTATCTTCACAGTTTACCCTACGCAGCAGATTCAAACCCATGTTGCAGAGACAATATGATGATGACGAAGGCGTGCCATCGGAAGCACCTAAAAATCATTTAGTAAGAGAAGGTTCTCCCTCAGAGACGAACTGTGGGACTTAATTCCACAAAAGGGTAGCATCTGAAATGTTACAATATGAATAATATCATCAAAGTCTTATTTACAATAATTTATTTAAAAGCCACACGTGTTTTAACTTGGCATGAATAGGGGAGCGTTAAATTAGACGTATAAGACTAAGACTAAACATCTTCATTATGTAACAAGGTGCTGACAAAGTCTCCTCCAGTCGCCCACAACATTGATAATTTTAGCAAGTTACTTGTTCCTCTAAAGTGGCTATTTTATTAATAGTGGAAAGTGTAGTTGGAGCTCAGAGCAGTGATTGCTTCACTTACTGGTAAGTTAACTACAATGATCAAACCCTAGACGTCTGTCAGGAGAATGCCCAATCATAGGTCCAATTGTAGGCGGAAGTCGTTAACATGCTCATACATACTTTATTGCTTGGACCTTCGAACAGCAAAAATTGGGGCCATTTCCTCACTTCCGGTCATTATCTTGATATGGAAAATAAATTTTCAAAACTAATATTGCATTGAAATCAGGCAACGCAATACCAGAATTAGTAAAAGAGCTGCACATAATTATTCATTGGTATTACCCTTTAACGTAACATTTTACTAACGCTAATACACCAAATGTGTAGTAGCATAAAATATGCATATTTGAGAAGGACATCTTGCCCTTCAGCTACGTATACGTCGTGCGATGTATCGCCTACCCTTTTTACTCCAAAGTACCAACGGATCCGGCAAAGCGATACCTGAAGGTGACGAAAACCCAGCTAACCGCACTGAAGGGTCGATTTCAAGCTTTCCTAAATGGCGAGTTGGACATTGTTGGTGACGAGGCGTTTACCAATGCAATACAAAGCTACTACGACGTAATTTTTGTTTTATTATGATGTGGTTCGGAGTTAGAGCCGTTAACTTCTAAAATAAGCTAGTAGTGATTACAATAAATATATAATTCAATATTTCAGCAGGCTGAAAATTAAACTATTCTCAGTTTTCCTCAATTAAAACCCCTTTCTCCTGCATATTTTAATTTTTGTAGCTATGGTGTAGTTGCATACAAGCTTCTTGGGTAAATTTCGAGTGACCATCCTTACGACAAGAAATTGCTTGTGATTTTTTTTTAGAGAACTGTGTGTTTGAAAAAATAAGAACTAATAAAAATGCACTCGCAGAAAGTGCTAAGTAACCTCAAGTACATTTTCATAGCTTTTCAAGAGGCTATGCTGTTTCAAACAACCATTTTATTTAAGAATTTTATGATAGTAGGCTTTTGGCAATTCACTTATTAAAGGTAAGTCATTTTATACCATGGTTTGCTTTAGATTAAGCTAATCAAATAGAGAAGGCAATATAAAGGAAGAATTACTGCAATGAAGGTAAAAGATGCGCACAAATTAAACGACTTAAAAACTGCCTTTGGCAGTCGTTTGACGACAGTTTTAAAATCAAAATTTTAAGATAAAGGAGGCATATTTAAATAGCGAAGGGAAAGGCGATCCCCCACAGAGAACGGCTTTGTTTCACGCATTTTGTGCCTATCCAACCTACATTAATTCTCTAAAAGTAGTTGATCTTTTTGAAGAAACTGGTCTTAGTAATAGGCATAACTAGATTATGCAAGGCGACCGTCCAATTATAGAAAACAAACTTGCGCTCCACCTACGAAAGGATAATATATAACTAAATTCTAGGATAAAAAGGGAATGGAGAAAGGCCTCAATAGCTTTTAATGAAACTTTTCTTGTATCCTGTGATGCATGCCTGTAAGCACATCGACTTGCCCCATGATCAACCACTATGAGAAGGTAGAGCTTTTCATTGGTTTGGAAAGGAGCTTAGACTGTCTCTGTTAAAGGTTTGCATCAATCATGAGCAAAAATTAAATAGACCGGTCAAAATTGGACTGTCTTAAGAGGAAAAGGCATGAGTTTGCAATTCATGGATTACCTTGAAAGTCAGCGGGGAGGGTGTTCGCAATAACACCCTTAAAAATTGCGTTTAAAATCTAACATGTAAATATAAAACAGTAGCAAATACCATCCTGGTTCAGTTGTGACACTGTCCTTCCCATCATTACCACGCCGGGCTACCAATTTGTCATTTTTATGAAATATTCACGACCACACTTGCTTGTGAATTTAAAAAACCATTAAATAAATATCTCCGAAATTTGAATTATTTCCGTAATGAGGGTGGAAGGCTTAAACTTACTACCGTCTGAGCTTGAAATTTTACGAAACATTGAATCGTACATAATCCTTACTTTTGCCTTTTTCGCTACACTTTATGCAATACTCTGAACATTCAGTTAACTCCTCGCCTTGGTTCCGCGGACACTTAAGACTTCACCTTTGTACTTTTGCTGGGTGGCATGGTGTCCGAGCCATGCCAGTAGCCTTTGGGTCCTTCTGTACGTCACCAGTAGTTTTCTATTGTGGCATTAGGACTTCTTTCGTCTTCATCGTCATCGAAAACCTAGTTTGGCACTACTCAGAGCCGGCTCTGTTTTGTTAGAATTCGTATCTTTTCTTTACCGACTGCACTAACCGGTGGCATAATAAAAAGGTGAAATCGGAGTAGTCGCATTCAGGTCTATACGTTGGATTCTATTGACACGCTTAAATCGCACACAACCCTTGCACATTATAAATTGGGCAGCTGGATGCTTAAAACTGACAGTGTCTGTTTAGATGAAGGTCGCCATTTTTTTTCATAAAAGCCGTAATTAACCTTAACGAGTTCTGATTTGGTACAATGGTCTGGCGATAGTGACAGACATTTTTTCACGATTGGTCCATAATTGTGAAATTTGATATCAGCGTCATTAAGCCTGGGATGTGCACAATTCCGAAATACATCTTTTGGCCTATCCGATTTGCATAGGCGTGCAATATCACAGGCCAGCCTTTTGTAACAACTTTTAGAACAACTAATCATTTAAGCGGTATGCAAATACCTAATTCAAATCAACGTTGACAGTTCGTGGAAACAAAAGTTTTTTCTAATTATAACTAATACACTTCGAAACGAGAGTTCCAAAAGTTTATTTTTAAACATTGTGACAGTAGACTTAGTAAAGGATAACTCTACGGTTTTATAAAATCGAAGACTATTTTGAAGTGGTGGTGATCAAACCGTGCAAATTCATCATTTTCTCCCCTTTAATTGGTTTCTTTTTTTATTTCAACAGATATTTCTATGCAGTGATCGAATCCTCACCATGGTGAAGGGAGGTGGCTGCTCGATGCACGATTTCCGTGAGGTTTTTCGAATAAACATCGAGTGTCGAATCCAATGTCTCCCTGACATCGAGGGGTTGGACAAGTCAAACATCTCGAGCGCCTGGATGGTTAAGTTTGACCAGATCTGCCGTGGCGGGGCCGGCCCCTCGGCAGCCATCCAACGTCTTCAGGTACCTCAATCCGAAGTCTTTATGTCAAAGGAGCAGCTCTACGACATGTTCCAGAGCATTCTCGGTGTCAAAAAGTATGAGCATCAGATCCTCTTCAATGCATTGCAGGCGAGTGTTCACTTAATATCTACAGCTATCTTCATCAGTGAAATAATTTTATCATATTGCCACCTTGCCGAATAGTTGTTTTCATAAAGATAAAAATGAGTCATTACATTTTTTTAATGCTATTGGTATAAACGAGTAAGAAATTAATCTAAATGTTAACTGCAAAGTCATTTCGATTAAATATTCGAAGTCCTTCGAAAACAATTTTCTGGAAATTTTGAGCTAAACTCCATTGCCGGTGCCTAATTTATAACACGCGACAAGTTTCATTCATTAATTCAAAAATGAAGTTAGGGGTAATTGGTCGAATAACAAATGCATTTTGACTTCAGGGTGGTTAATGGTATTAGTACCCTATCAATTATAAAAACCTGCTTTAGACACAAACAAAGTGATTACTTTGGGAGCTTCATCACGTTCATTTTATCAATTCGACCTTATGGTCAAGAAACCTAAATTAGACCACCATGGCATTACTTTGCTTAATGCCCTTAATGCACGCAAAACACCGCAGCCTTAGTAAACACCGCAGGGAATTTCAAGCCTCCTTTTAATTCATCTCATTGGCAGTAGGGATAAACTTGGGCTTTGGTGATGTCCGCCCATGCTAAATATTCCCGCACGGAAATAGTGAAATAATATCCAGTCTTTTGACATGAACTGTCATGACTTGGGCCTATTAATCGCAGTTGTGGCTACTTAGATATTCCATTCCTGCAAATGAATTACAACAGTAACTTAAATAGGATGGTATATTGGTCTCACGCAAGTTAATTACTCAAATGAAATGTTAATCTGAAGAGCTGCAAATATGAATCTGATCATCGCTTATTTTAGTGGCACCCAGTCTTGATTTGCTGATTTGGGAAGCTGTCTTTTAATTTTCGAAGTTGACTTAGCACAAACAATTTTTAGGCAATTTCCAACTGGCTTCTTAGACTCATTTTCTTGGCTTCACTTTATTTTGCACAATTAAAATGGTCTGATAAAGGCCAGTTGTACGAATGAATTCATCATTACACCAAACTCAAGCCAGTATAATTACTTACATCACTAGTTTTTAATAAACTCATTAAATCATAAAAAGCTGTTTTGTATGTTAACGAAAGAATTTTAGAGCTGATCCTGCTAATAACTGCTTAAATTCATTTTAGCAGAGATGTTCAAGCGGAGCAAATGATTAACAGGAGGCGCCACTTTCTTACTGAACAAGCGTAAAAACGACCGCTGAAATACCAAAATAGGTCATACCTTTATTCTGATTAAGTTTTTCGAGTATAACATCGGTAAAAAAGCACTAGCTTGTAAAATGATAGATTATCCAAAGGATTTTGCAATTTACTATTTGATGTTTACATTTAAGCTTGACAATGCTGACGAACAGGCAGCTCAAGTTCGACGAGAACTGGACGGTCAATTGGCCACGATCGAGGAAATGGCCAGGGTAAGATGTGCGCTTTCATGTAGAATCAGCATCTATCACTACGAACTACATTATTATAAACAAACGCGTAAACATTTTAGGGGAGGCTGATTTTACTACCAAGCTCAAAAATGAGCCGTAAGGAAGAATTCCGCTGAATTCTGTTAATGCCTTTTACTATAATATAAACATCTCTGAGTACGAAATCACCTGTGTAAATCAACTTCTAAATGCTCAAAAATGTTGAACAAATAAATTTTTTGCAAAGGTGCACATGCTACATTTATTTGCTTTCGCAACTAGTTACCCAATTCAACTTTCGAATGCATTTGCTAGGTTCTGAAACAGGAAATGACAAAATGCCAGGATATGAACCAGATTTTTCACAAGAAGAACACCTGTGGTATGATAAACGTAGAAGGCTCCATCAGCTTGTTTCCTGCATGGATAATAGTACAGCAGTTTGCATCTTCTCTAGTAAATAGGATATTTAAATCCTCAAATCCACACTTCACGGTGTTAGGTGAGCACCCTGAATATTGTGAGATGATGCGATGTGAGGATTTAGTTTGATTTCCCATCAGAATTCAACCATATCATAGACGAAAGTCTGAAAACTTCTTTTCTATATTTGGGCTTTTTAAAGATTGAGGCGACTAAACACTATTTAACATGACAAAATTCTGAGCATATTATTTATTCTCGGGCGCCATCAGCGCCCCGCATATAGCTTCGGGGCTGATTGTTATGGCAGTAGTAAAGTGAAAGTGAAAGTCATTGCGAAGGTATTACAGTGAAATTGAGATAGAAGCGGAAATATTTTTTTACGCCAGGAAACATTTGCAATACACGGTGTCTGCTTCCTTATTTAGAGATGGAATGCTTAAGTAGAGCAAAGGATAGATAATGGTCTTCATTGTTTCAGAATGCGAAGAAATAATTATACGCATGTACAGAAAACTTCGAAAACATCGAGAGTTAAAATTGCTCATGACAGATGGATTAGCGTCAATCAGCCAGCGTAGTCTATGAGCGGCGTCTTTTGTGTCACACCTGATTGTGAGTTCATGTATTTGCCGCATGAAGGAAATGACATTTGATTTAAAAGATCTTAATAGTAGAAAACAGCGCGTTTATATTAAAATTGAATTTTGCCATCCATTTTATTAACAGGTTAGTGGTAGTGTGGTTTTGCTCCAGTAAAAGAAATAATGCCAGCTAGACGCCTTAGTTAGTTTTTAAGACGGTATGGGACTTAAAGATCAGTAAATAATTTGGTTACATTTGTCAAAATGTGTCAGAATTTCAGAGGTATAGACTGCTCGATTAGATTACTAAAATTACTTAAAATTAACACCATCAGGCTTAATAAAACACCTACTAGTCTAAAACACTTTAGTCGAATAGATTAAATGATGTGACAGAGCATACTAGGTTCTCTCTTCTCCTTATGCTATAGAATCGAAATATCCCAAGACTGGTGCAGAAGTCCATGGACTCTCTCTACACAGAGGAACTGCGCAATATGGTGAACGAGCTCATGATTCGCCTTGAATCAGTCCCCGTCACCAAGGGTGGTGGAAGCTTTCAGAAGTTCAAAAGGCATGGAAGGAATCAAAGTCTCGGTTCGAGTCTGCGGGATCACAGTGCTGAGGAGAGCCCAGAACTCAACCTCAGCAAGGTAGACACGCAGCTAAACTTCACTCTTGAGGTAAGTAATCTTGTAAATAAGTATCTTTACTTGCTATTTAAACACTTTTTTTACTTGTGGTGCTGTCCCCTGTCTTCTGCGTACGCAGATCTGAGAAGTGGCACTAAGGCAACATTTAATCGCCATGGCAATCAACTGAATTCGCGCAGCTTCCAAAATAAATAATTAGGTAACCGTAAACAGCTTCTTATTTCACCTTTTTAATTGATATATTGGAAGGGTTGCGGCATATGGTCCTTCCAGCCATGCCACACGGAAGTACAACAACGGAGATCAAGAGGGCCGGTTAGCATAGTAAAAGTAGCAACTAACAGTTCACCTCAAATTAGTTAAGTTGCTGTAAATTAACCTTTTTGTGAAAGTGCAATATTTACTCTCCTCTGTTAATTAGTTTGATTTTGTAGGATTTACTTCCCATCCCAAAGAGATTTCCACACACTGCAATCATACGTGTCCCAAATTGAGGGGTGCCAGTTGACGTCCACACTGCACGAAGTGCACTCAACACTAGATAGCGGTCTTTCCACTTTCGAAATTTTCTGTTTCCCATTACCTTAGTAAATACATACTAAATGTAGTAAATCTTGAAAATAAACAACCTCTTAAATAAGTTTTAGTTTTTAGAAGAATTCAGAATAGTGATTGAGAGAACTTCTAATATTTGCCACGTCAGTCTACTTATGACAACCGAATTTGCATACTGATGATCAAAGCGAATCAACTTTTGGGATGACTGTCTTCATGTAAAACATCCACACCAATGTAGCAGCAGAATGTTCTGCTGAAGTGTCGCCACAACTTGACTGTTGTTGGAAGTTTCTGAGTTGCTAAGCTCATGTAGAAAGGAATGTCCGCTGCTCAAATATGCAGAGTATAACCATTATGTGGGTCACAATCATGCGATGACCAACAGATTTCTCTCAAAATGTTGCCTTGAGCATATATTTGTCGAGCTAACTATGATGTGTCTAGGTTTTTACGTTTCCATGGTACTACATCGAAAAGTGCAGAGAAGATTTGGCCGGAGTGAAGGTTACTCCACTTTGGCTGAACTCCACCTGTCAGCGGTGATCTAACACTGCCAATGTTTCCTCATTTAGAAGCCACATTTAAACACTCATTTATTGCCGTTTATTCATCTACTCAATCTGAAGTTCTCTGCATTATCTTAAGCTGCATATACAACGGAGGGCAATCTTCAAAGCATCACGAATACGCGGCTGAATGACGCCCTGATAAAGCAGCGTTGGACACCACTTAAAACCGAAACCAACTGCTTCACTTAGACACACCTCTAGCAGCCAACTGCCCTCTTGGAGTTTTCTCTAGTAGTGATTCAAATTTTAAAGCAATCTTCTTAGCACTTTGCACTCGCTAAAGCAATCACCGTAACATTTTTCAATCGAATCCCTTGCCTAAATATCATAGGCATCCTCTCATTTCACTTTTGCAAAGCTTTTCTCCCCCACCCACATGCAAGCAACCTAACCTTATTCACACCCGTTTCTATCTCACTACCTCCCATATGTCGCCCTAGGGGAGTGGCGACCATTGAGGTTAGAGATGAGAATTGGGTAAAACAGTATCTTAAGGTTCCAATCTTCTCACAAGTCGGTCGGATAAAATGTGGTATGAGATGTACAGCGCGAGGGCCTATGTTGCCTTTTAAAAATAAAAAAAAGAACTTCCTTTTTTCTAGATTTATCAGACAACATTACAAATATTTATCTCAGTCAAGAAGTTCGTAGTGAGCAATTGCGCCTACAGTCTACAGCACCTACATATACACACCCATACCTACAATCCCAACCACAAACAGGCACACACACAAACGAAGCAAGTGTGGTCTTCTACGGATGGAATGCTGAGTGCTAGGGCAATGTAGGATGGGTGGTTGGTGAATTGTTCGGAACTAATCAGTGATGCATTAGTTCACTTAACGAGATTCGGAGTACAAAGCCACAGAAGTCGTATCCCACCACAGGTCAGTCAATCCGTCAGTTGTCGGTCAAGGTGCATTGGAGTCAACTTTTTGATGCTTTACCAAACCACACTTATCGTCTCCACGTCTTCTTCAAATTACACGCAACATGTTTGGCACAAAGCTTCTGCAGCATCTCAGAAGTCCAGTTCAACTTAGTTTGGTAAGGAGACAAGCTCGATTTACATCCCTCAAGTTCAAGTGATATGATAGACTGCCGCATATCCACCTTTATAATGCACATGGTCAGTGGTATTTTACCAAATCCTTCAAGCTGCAACAAGTCATTGCATTGAATTATGCAAAGGACCACACGACCCTCTCACCTGGCAGATTTTAACTTAACTCGTCAACCGGTATCTCTAATTAACACTTTCGTATGAAGGTATCTTTGATAACAAACGTAACGTGCAGAGAGACAAATCTGTGGTGCCTCGTAAACACCTTTTTAGGCAAATTTGAAATATGGTTCCTGTTTTTTAAATATGAGTTTACTTGGAAACTGAGAACGGTTGCGTGGCAAATCAACGAACTCATGGGTGTACGTATGGGATTTTAAATGGGTAAAGCCACGGGGAAGGGGGTAGGGCAGTCATCTAAATTGCAAACAAAACAAAGTTTAATTGAACTGGAATTCCAGCTTTATCCATCGTTCCACAGTCCATTCAGGCTGCTCAACTTTTTGTTGTGTCGATAAATTTTAGCCAAGCATTATAGGTTTTTAGCCACGGTAAAGAGGAATTTGGGAATTTTACTGCTGTACACCTATTTCTGGCACTCTTCTTGGCTTCATCGGTTTGTAGCAATATGCAAAAATGGCATCAGCATTGGTACAAGTTATCTGTGCTTTTAGAAGTTTGTCATATACAAGCACTCTTGCTCCTCACATCATTAGGTGAATAATTGCAACCGACTGAAAAATAGAATTAACCATCTTTTTAAGACGAAACTGAAGGAGGCAGTTTTTAAACACGGTGAAAACTGCTGACGCAAAAGGCGAAATTTCATTTAAATTGAGATGAATGCATATTAAATGCTTCAGTAGCAGACACATCGAACCCGTCGCCATTTTTCGCACCAATTTAATAGCTTTCATCTTAAGATGGGATGACCAGAAATCATGTGAACGGCCTTTAGTAATCTTACTGATGGCCAGCTCTTTACCTGCTTTTTAGTTACCCGAAGAAATTAAAATTGCTCCATGCATAGTAAGACCGCTTTCTAAAAGCTAATCTCAAAACCTTTAAACTTGTAAATTTCTTTAAAAGAGAGCATGCTTTGTCTTAGGAAAATTGCAACGGTTAAGGCTCGTACATTGCATTGGTAACACGCCTATCTAAACGGAATTCTAGTCACTTTACTGATTGACAATAGAAACTATCTGCCACTTCATCAACGCGTGATGTCGATTCACGTAAGTAGTAATCAGGATTTACAGAGAAAGCATGATATACGATTGCATTTATAACTCATCTTTAAAACCCACAAAAAAATTTCATAACCTAAATTTAAGTAAAGCACTGATGGTCACCGTGTGCCTTCCCTCCTGAGTATCCTATTTAACTTAAGAAATCGCTACAAAATGTCAGTCCACGCAACTCAAGTTATGGCTGGTTTTAGGTGCTACAGACTTCTCTTCCCTAAAAAAACACGTGTTTGTATCGGATTTCCTCTGCTTTACTATTTTGACAGTAGTTGCAGTCTGTTGGAGATTTTTAGGCCGAAAGGGTAAAGTCTGTCTTTTTAAACCACTTTTTTTAAACCGAAGTAGCAGCGTTTCAAAATTTTATCAGCTTTTTATTGCAGTGATTGTAACTTGCTCTAACACACAAGTCTTTTTTGAATCATCTTTAGTCTTCCGCATCGACTTTAGATTTCCATCGTCCATCGTTTGCAACTGATCTGCCTTTGCAGGTTTATTCGCTTAAGGCGTTGCAAAAAATTATAGCGCAAGTGCAGGAAATCATGCTAAGAAGTTCCAAAAAATTTTAGCCATTTAAAGTTCTGCATACTGTTTAACGCCTTTTAAATCAAACGCTGAAATACCAACTTCTTTCTACCATCCACGCATGAGTTAAGCTAGCAGAGAACCTGTTGGATCCCCTCTTCCCTTCTTAATAGTGGCTTTCTTCCACTTATTCTAGACCACAAATACCATTTAAAGTCCCACCTCTGTCACGTACTGGCAGTAGAATGGCTATCACAATCGCTCGACATGAGTTCACTTACTGGACATTCAGTCAACTGAAGGCGTCCTTTACGTTGTCTTTCAACTATCTTCAGACCACAATTGTTGTTGAGCATCCTATAATCGGGTCTAAACAAAAGGTACCCTCTACATCATTTGTCGGAATCGTGAGTGTCTAATACACCAGAATTTTTAATCTCAGGAGCGTCACTCCATAAATTACTCAAAAATCGGTGCGAAAAACTCCGTTTATTAAATCCTTTCCCACCTGGAGGACCCCATTTCATGTAGCGCATAAAATTAGTAGGATAACACGGAATAAATAATGTTTGAAACGAATGTTGTCACAATAAAAGTTATTCGGTTTATGCCGCTCTCAACAAAATTGGCGACTGGCTGTCCATCAACTAATCAACAAAGCCGTGTTAAAGTATTAACCTATCTCTTCCATGCAAGCGATAGCTGTTATAATGCCATTTTACGTTTGTGGAAAATCCACTTTTGCATTGCATAGAAAAATTTTGTTTCTCCTGAGGAGTGATTCAATGACAATTAAATGTATTCAGTTGTACCAAATTTGTGGATATCTGCTCATACTAGAAAACTGCTCGTCTCAAATAGTACAAAGAAGCTTATCACCACCTTATCCAGTTAGTAATCCTAGTGCAAAAGACGTTATAAGTAGTCCCTATACCCACGCCTGGAATGGCAATATGGTGGTAGCTTTACGAAAGAGTTTCCTAAGCATGCATACTTTGGGAGTTTTACACCCTCTTCAAGATCCACTGGAAGTGCGCACGTCTCTACGCAAGAAAATTCTTGAAACGAATTGTTTCCTTACACAAAAGATTCAGGCTGTTTCATATATAGAAATCAGCAAGCCCTCACTCTAAATCAGATCTTTACTTCGCATTTTATACTTTTAATTATGCATGTAAATATCGTTATTGGCTCATTCCATTAGCTGGAGCATTGATTTTAAAGTAAATTGTCCTTTTATCTGCATTCGAGATGTTTCGTGGGATAATTTTGAACTTAAATTGGAATTATCTATAAACAAAGCATTTGTCAATAAAATTACCTCTCTCAATCCCAATTTAATGTCACAGCTGCCAGGATCTCAGACAAAAATTAACGTCCGTAGTCAAACCATTGTATTGGTCCAAAAATTGCCATCAACACCTGTACTGATTTACTGTCTATGAATTTGAGAAATTACAGCAACTCTCACTCCAAGAAAACCTCATTCGTTTGTACTGCTGTGCTAAACTCAGTCAACCCGTATGCACCATGATTTACTGTAACCACTCATCTTGGACTGCGAATAAGCACGTATGAGATAGTTGCAAAGCCAGACACAAACGAAGCATCATTGCGACACATGCATGCAACTTTACTCCATTTCTTTTGTTGTTTTGAGCAAGAGTGCTTTTGCTCGTTAGGATATGGCCTCATCGGTACGAACATAGGTTTTACGCATACCTGACTTGCTAGAACCTTCCTGGTATTTGACGTACTCTTTCCTAAGTATCTTAATTTAGAGCTTTGAGTATCCGCTACCATGCTCTAACCGCAACCTCATCACATCCAATTATTTGTTGCGGCCTACTTTTTTTGCGGCATCATTTCCAATTAAGTCACTGGAGAATTTTGTGTCCCTTAAGCAGAAAGTTGTTATCTTTTAATTAAAAATTCGTTTAATAAGGTTACTATAAGCAGGGCTGTAGCAATCTCTCAGCTAGGGTTTGCCTTTCAAAAGTATTGGTTTGCACATTTGATAATTCCTACACAGTAGTACCAAGTCCTCAGCCAAGCTGTCAAATTGAAGCGGTAAACTACTGAGAAGAAATTATGAATGCTTTATATCTAAATGGGGCGGTTGTTGTGCTGATGGCCAAGTCCCAAATAAGTACTAGCACTGAGGTCCTTTATCGAGTGTTTTAAATCCTTTACAGTACTCTAAATTTTGTTTAAGCAGATCAAATTCGCCAGCTATTAAATTATAATTGGTGTTGATAGCCCAACCGGGAGCCATTAAAGTGGAATAAACAAAGTGTCTAAACGAAATTTTTGAAACAAACTCATCAAACATAAAGTCAATTTTATTTAAGCAGAATAAGAACACAAGTCCGCCAGTGAAATTCTAGAATGGGTTCGGTTTTTTTATTTTTAAGGATTATATGGACATCTGTAGTTATCATGATGGATAGACTCAAAGAGCCTGCTTTATGAAGCTAATTTGCTATTGTAAAAGATACGACTGCACCATTCCGTTAAGACACTTTTTTCCACCTTAGGTTGTCGTGGTACAAGTAAAGAACTTAAAGCATTTACCACCAACAAAGATGGTCTATTGCACAATGGAGGTTGAGGGAGGTGATCGCTTACAGACGGATCTGGCCGAGGCTGGCAAAGCTCAGTGAGTTTTCACATCACTTCTTTTTGGTGAAAGAAGTTGCCATTATTTACGTGTAGGTGTCCTTCTTCACGATGAACTTTTGTATGAAATACGATCGCAAATAGTCCTAGAAATGATGTATCGTCTGTCACTTCTATTGCACTTTAAACTGCTTCCTTTCAAATCAGGAAAGGTCTCAAGCATCTCTACGAATTGCGATAGAAGTACTAAAAATCTTGCCAAAAAATAGTACTTTGTCTACCTTTTCAAACTACTTCACTATAGATTTATCAGTAGCGCGCAAAAAAGAAGATAAAAAGTCTGAAAAAAATCACTAATGGGATCAATCTTCGCTCTAGCTTATGAGCCAATCATTGGGCCTGTGTATCATTGCGAAAGGGTTAGAAAATTTCTTTAAGCTGATAACTTTCTGTTAGAGTTACTTTAAGGTCTTGAAGAGACCTGCTTCCGATATAATTACTACTGCGATCTTCTTTTTTCGTTGCCCGATCTCTTAAAGCCCGCGGATGAGCATTAAAAAAGGATCCAACGGAATATGGGATAACTGAAACCCTTGCGTCATCATTGTCACAGATCGTCCGAGAATGGGTGGAAAATTTGTAAAGAAATCCGAAAATAACTATGAGATAAATAATTTTGGGCACGCTAATAAGTGGGTTTTGGCATTTTAGAACAGATGTATAGTTTAAGCTACTCAATTGCATAAAACTCTCCTGGTTCTGTTTTAGCTAATTATACTGACCGGACATAGCTTTTAGCCTACCACTTTGTTTAAGTAAAAAATTCTGTTCAAACGTTTATCTTCATTACGCTTGAAGCAGAAGCGCTCACTGTGCTCACGGCACCATCAACTACATCATTGATTAAATGCTACGGAAAACTTTGTGATTTTAAAATCGTTCTCCCTTCTTCAGTCAACTTCAACGGTGAAAATTTGATTCGAATACGGAGTCAAATTCCCCTATTCAATGTAGCTTACAGAGTGAAGAACGGATTTTGCCTACGATATTTTTCTTTTTGACTATCGGTAAAGGGAGAAGACAATTGAAGCGGCACTGTGGCTTATGCATCTACACTACACGCGATGGAGTCATTTGTTAGGTAATGATGCATCACATAGATGATGGCAGCGCCTTTCCTCGCTTCTGCCAGTCAAAAACAAATATTTTTGGATAAAAATAACAATTTTACATACATCCACTGTTTCTGCATTTTTAAATAGAGGGAAAGAGACCGAGCAATCCAGGTGGACCTTATTTATAACTAAACTGAGAAGTTCTTATGTGAACACTTCCTTTCTCACGGACGACAGGGCAAAGGCAAAGTGACAGCGGGATAGTGTCCTAACAGCCTCCCCTCTTGTTGTCCTGCCTTGGGCTTTTTAGTTAGAATTGTCGGAGCATTTAGTGGCTTTCATTCTGTCTTTATACCATATGCTTTTCACTAACTTTATTTTGAATTAGAGGAACAGAAATAATTTGTCAACAATAAATGGTGTGTAGGTTAAAAACTTTTTTTGGCTGGGCTCTGCATTTATGGGCTGTAAAGGTATGAGAATGCATTGGATATGCAAAATACTACAGAACTAATCACTTTAACTAATTCCATTAAACAATTTTTTGTAACGGCGATAATTTAGTTGATCTTTCTGGAAATAAAATTTGGTATATGTCAACGAAAACAAATGTGCCTCAATTCATTTTTAACAACTTTCTGATTCTAACACACGACCTGAACTAATGATACTTATTTTTGTGAAAATTTTTCAATGTTTTAACAGTTGGGGAACTCAAGGAGACTTCACCACCTCACATCCACTGCCACAAGTGAAGGTAAAACTCTACGCGGAAGCCTCTGGACTGCTCAGCTTGGAATCCGGAAAGGAACTGGGTCGAGTAAGTCTAGATCCTCCTTCCTTTCTCCTAACTACGGAAAGGATCTTGTAGACGTATGTGTTTCATATTAGTGGAATTTAAATGTCAACAACTTGTAGGAGAAGTTCATTACATGAAAATTACAGTGCTCATCAAAATAACTGCAAAGTTTCAGAAAAAAATTATTGCATACAAAGGGAACAATCATTCTGATTAATTACCAGCAGCAAAACCTAGAAATTTTAGAACCATCATATTCTCCTCTACTAGAATTAGGCGACAGAAATGCATAGACCACCACTTTCCTTAGGGCGTTAAAGCAATGCTCATGCTTTCACTTGGAAAAGTACTGGAAGGTGTAAAACCAATACACCTCCTCCTGTGCTTTAATGCAGTTTTAATGTATTGACTTGCTTGATCTTGCATTTCCTCTATTTTTTACTAAAAGCAGTTGAAAATAGGCCTTCCAGGGGCGCAATTTTTCCTTAGTCTCAATCGGTATGGCATAGGTATTCACAGTTGGTTCTTGGAAAGATGGAGTGAGTTAGCCACGCGAGTTCTCGTTTTTATATTATCCCGACTATGTAGTACCTTCCATCGCAGTTTCCTTTTTATGCAACTAACACATCGAGGAAGCTATAATAAAACGCCCTTGTTATTTACTTTTGTTGTTTAGACTTAAAAATTCGTGTTTAGCGCGACAACAAAATCAAGAGCTCCGTGGGTTGCTAGTTATGACTGTCGTGACAGGTAGAATGAGATACGGACCATGCATAAGGCAAATCATGTTTCGTTGGGACAAACACAAATCCGTCCCACTGACTAATGCAGTGTTCCGCTGTTCCTGAAGAAAAAGTACGAAAAGAATCTGGATAAAATACCCGCAGCGTGAAGAACAAACTGCCTCTGCTTGAGTGTTTAGTTAGGTTAGACGTCGAAGAGAACCTTGTGTATCGAAAAAAACATAAGAGTTGATTGAATAATATTGGTAATTTAAAGAGGAGATGCTATCCAAAATGCGCTTGAGTTTACTGTGAGTACCAACCTTTTGTAAAGGAAGTACCGAAATGTATATTCATACAAACATTCGGGAGGTAGTAGCACAGGTTTATTCCAGTCATTTAATATTTAATTCTTCAGTCTTTGAAATGTCTTACTTTTTCAGTTGTTTTATTTATAGTACGTTCATTTGGTTCAGTTAAGACATGAAATTCTCGATAACGGTCTATAAATATTAAAGCAGTAATGCTTGACAGGAGCTTCGACAATTTGAAACCGATTAGTTGCTTTAAACAATCTGAAAAAAAAACAGGTTGTAAAGGAATGCTGAAAATTTTGAATACGAAGATTCTACTTTGAGCCATATAATAGATTGTGCTTTACTTAGCCTTATCGGAGTCTTTGTAAGATACTAACTTGAAATGGCATTCTTGTGCCTAGAACTAGCCCGCCTTGTCATTACCATGTTTGCATACAACCTCGTAGTTGATAGGTCTAATGAAAGAAGTAATTGGGTGTGATTTTGCAAAACTTTTAAGTGTTTTTTTTGTAAGTGAGGGAGGGTCAATATTTGGGATATGTTCGTTTGGCCTAATAAAAAAGATCGTCTAACTTTGTGACCGGATAAATTGACCTTACGGGTACGTTTGCCTTTTGTGGCAAAGCACTTATGCATCAATCTTATGCAAGTCAAAAGTACTATTACGACACTGATCTCACTTCACTGGTTTATAAAGCAAATTCTTCCACACACTTTGCACTTGTCATTTTAAAGCGATGGATCAAGCAGGTTGTTGCGAACTGCACCTCCCGAAATTGAAGAATTTCGCCTTCACTTGCCCTAAACAGCATCCTGACTTTAGGCAAACAATTAAAAATTTATTCATAAATGGAAGGCTTTAATTTCTTTTTTCGACAGTCATTTTAAGGACAAATTTACCCCAAGTAGATTATAAAAACGTATGGTGTAATTTACCAAGTACTCACAACTGTTAGCCTTTGAATTTACGCGCAAAGTGGCATGCCTTTTGTGGTGCGAAATAAAACTGCCACCAGTGGCATTACCAAGCGCATTTTAAATTATTAAATGAACCTTTTCTGTGGTCCTGAGTTTGCCGCACCTTGAGTCTATTCTAGATCACCAAAGTAACCCCGCCTAATGACAGCAACAGCAACCTGGTCGAGCTGTCAAAACGACGTTTTCTGGTAGAGCAATTAAGCATGCATTACTAAAGGTGGAAGGCAAGAATGCCTTAAAATAAACAAACCTAAAACTCTAATGAAGCAGAACGAAGCAATATTGAATTGTTTTCTCTTACTTATTTTCGTGATATCTTTTAAGTCTTGATAATGCCAGCAGCCTATACAATGTGAACAAAAACTTTCATTTACGATGTGGTAATTTGTGAATCACACCCGGTATACTATCGTTCATTCATCGGTCTCTGTTTTTCATCTATTCTTTACTATTACTTTAAAATGACAAGAATACAAAAATGAACAAATTTGTAGTGATTAATCTAGGAGAAGTGTGGGTTTCGTGGAATAACAACAAGTAGTTCTCCAGCAAACGCCTAATTTTTTCCTCTCGATACTCGTTGGGCACAGAATTTGGGTGCACCTGTCACCTCTTTTTTTACGCAAGGTTGTTCTCAATCCCACATGCAAGGGGAGTCGAGCCCCAGAATGGTATAAAATGCAAACATCTCGAAACTGCTCGGATGATCTGCGAATCCAACTCACCATTCGGATGGATAAGCCCAACAACCTCAAGTACTGCGGCTACTGCTACGCAATTGGACGCAACGCTTTCAAGAAGTGGCGGAAGCGCTACATATGTCTCATTCAGGTAAGTACTTTTCGCTGCATTCTGAACACTTTTCTAATCCCTAGAAAAAAATTTCTTTCTAATTAGACCAATCTCTTTCGCAGGAAAAAAAGCATTATTTATTCATGTAAAACCCAGAAAATAAACGCGACAATGTTGTAAGAATCGGGAGATAAGCTTAAGATTGCCATTAGCTTGTCAAAAGAGCTTGAATATCCCTTATCTACTTACGCATTTTCCATTCTGAAAAGGTAAATCCCATTGAAAGAGGTGTATTTTTAAAACTCTATTGTTATTTTCATAAATGTTAAATTTAATGTTGCCGCATTAAGTGATGTGTTATTCATGGACTTTATGACGTCTTAGAAATTTAGCTAGTTGTTCGGTGAACGAGAATAGTGTGAAACTGGACTTAAATCACCTAAAAAACCTTGGTGAGGCGCTAAATCAAAATTGACTTGTCCCTTCAATGGGAATGCCATAAGCGCGTGCATAAGTGACGACCTTTTGTTGAGTTTTCGCTTCTTATTTTTGCAAGCACTTTCCCTTTCGTTCTCACTTGATCCTTTTGTAGTAGCGGTAGCAATCAAACAACAACGCGCAAGATTTCGGTCGTATTTTGGCAGAAATTAATATAGATGTTTATAAGTTAATTGCTTACAAATGCTTACGTGCTGTAAAACAATGCCATTTTTAAACAGCTTTGTTTTTTTCCATGCTAAAAATTGTGCTCATCTTAGCTCTAAAAGCAGTAATGCCGAGAGGGCTGGATCGAGAAGCAGGAAATAAACAGTATCAGGCCCAAGTTAATATGCTGCAAGTACTGAATAGAGCGGAACCGCTGAATATTAAAGTTAATTTATGTTAAGTGTGGCAACAATATTCCATTCCATTTGTATTGTTTTTGTATTGCTGAGGTTGTTTCTTGGTCCATTCTAAGTATGAAGACCCCATAATGAGTCACCTAAAAAAAATTTCTCTTTATTTATGTGGAGCTGTCATCATTTACTGAATCGGTACAAATGAGTTGGTAACAAACAATCCAAATGTCTCCCACAAGTTGTCGAATGTTTGTATTAGGTTTAATTTAGTGGTCGTTTAAAAGACAGATAGCTCCATACGAAAAGAGTCACTTACATTACACCTTTACGCCACCCATTACTTCCAAGCCATATTACTTACATTTTTATAGGTCTCGCAGTACACGTTCATCATGGCCTCTTATAAAGAACGCAAGTCCGAACCACTGGAAATCATGCCGCTTGATGGATATACCGTGGATTACTGTGAGCCCCAAGCAGGTAAATTCTTATCATTCGATGGAAATATTTTTGTTTTATTAAGTAGCTAGTCTTTTAGATATTTTCTTTATCACGCGTGCCCCCTTGAATTGTTAACATGGGGCCAAATATTTTAATGAGAGCTATTTACCACACCTTGGCAGATGTGATGCCCGTTTTGGGAGCATTTGACGAAAAACAAACTTTACATCATACCTCTTTATGGTATGGACGTGAGATAACTATGCCTGTGAATGAGGAGCAAAGGCAAATCCTTTTTACTCACTCAAACTACATCAAGATTTGAGGAAGGCTTCTTGAAATCACTTTAGTTTTTCAGATAGCTCCCGCAAAATACAAAGTTAGGATGCTGACAGTGTGTCTCAAGACGCTTTTGGGTGGCTGTTGCTAAAGTCATGAACACTATTAGTTTTCGGTGTCTTCTCTAGCTGCGAGAATCCATCTTGCATGAAATTGGTCCAACTAAGGAAATTAATATCATATCATGTTCGAGGCTGCTACTTATTATTAACCAGTGACGTAAAGGACGACCTTACTACCAGTCCTTGTGTCAACCTACGTAGATCCACATGAAAATGAAGCAAAAGAAGTACACTTTTTCAATATTTTCCACGGCAAGCGAGTTTTATTTGCTTAGGAGAAGGCGTGTATCACCAAGGCGCCAACTAATAAATCCTAATTAAAATTAGTTAACCGACTAATGCTGCAACCGCAATCTTCTTCAGCTGGATTAAGAGAAGCGATGACATAAAAACGGCGCAAAAAATGCTTGGAAATGCAAAATTGCAAAAAAATTTTAAATAAAGTCTTACGGTTCTTCTGTTTATCGGCATTCAGACTTGGTGCAGTTGGGCGGAGGGGCGTACTTCTTCAATCTGGTGAAGGAGGGCGACAGCATGTACTTCACGACGGAGGATGAGAACGAGCGGCAGCTATGGGTGCAGGCCATTTACCGGGCCACCGGGCAAACGCACAAACCTATCCCACCACCCACGCACTCTGCCGCTCCTTCAGCGGACACCGCTGCCTCCTCCACTACTACCACTGCCGCTGCAGTCTCTACCAAGGGTGCCAAGGGTGGTGCGTGCCTTTATTCGCACAGTTTGCCCCTTTCCACTCATGGCAGCCGATCACGTCTTGGGGCTTTAAATGACTCCACTTTTGTATTGATTCGTATTCTTTATGGTCGTAAGGACTACTTATAAATAAATCCTCTTGAAACGTGGTGCAATTACAAGTAACATATTAGAGCTAACCTACCCACAAATCTACGATTCACTGTCTACTTGCATGTTCTTTTTCAATAGTAATTAAAATTCCTTTAGGGAGAAGCTGGCCTAGACTAATGCTTTGGACGTCAGGTATCAATGTAATTTTCTTCATTTACAGATCAATCATTTCTTGGTTAATCAACTGAATCTAAAGTATACTTTAAAGTCTGTTATCATAGTGATTTCGCCTTGAATGTAGAGGTCGAGAATAGTGAGAGACAGCTGGCAAGGTAACGCCGATGGCTTTCCCAATTCTGATGGGTAAGAAGGACGTCAATGGATTTCAGTGGGCTGCCATTTTCATTGGCCCAAATTCACTAGATTCGTGTTACTTTCAAGAGGCTCCGACGGTTATGTTCATCGAAGAAGGTTCTTTAAAATATGCACCCTTGATTGACTCCTTATTAAGCAGATTTCATTTAGTTTAATGCTTCCTTTGCGTATTAGCACCAACGGACGTTGATAAGTGTTTTCGTTTTCATGGAAATCATGCTCCTCTGATTTGGCGGTTGTAAGTATCCCAGACTCACTTCTGCCATCAACATCTCATGAATGAGTGTATTTGGCTTAAAGTGATTGCGCTATATAGGGCGTGTGGGTTTTGATTTTCTACAGTACATTTTTCAAATCTAAATTCTTAGGAATTTCACATTTTTCCTACTTTGCTGTGTCTGTATGATTGAAGACGATTTAATGCGGGGAATAATCTGCGTAAGGAGTTCCTGTCGATTTAAATGAACGCAGCCTTAAATCTTAGAAAACTTTCAAAAAGCTCGACTTCCTTCTAACATTCATGCAATTTTTTAGAAATATAGAGTTTACTGGTTCAAGGAGTTTGGTTTACACACATAGCGGACTCCTAGAAGCCTACAGAGGATCGCACCAGCCAAAGTGAATCCAACTTTTATGTTCCCTGCACAAATCCTAATTATTAATTCAGTCAATCACTTCAGGTCGCTTCTACTTTGAGTCCTGTGATAGTGTAAATTATTTATTTTCCACTACCCTACCCCCCAGGAAGGTACTAGAGGTTGAGCAACAATTTTCGGTAGTTTTGACTTAATTGCCTGCCTTTCGGTAGGTTCCGCTTCCCACCACTCTGTTTAATTAATCCGGTGGTTGAAATATTTTGAAAAATTTGTATTTTACTTTTTTCGTTTCTGGAAAGTGGCCTAATTAGCATCTTTCACCGGTTTTAGTCTTTTGCCTTGCTAATCGTCTCCTCTTTTGTCACTTGGGTTTGACGCTTGGTGGAGTCAAATGGGGTCAGGAAAGGCGATTTTATGCGTCGCTGAATTGGAATTTCAAAGACTGCTGACGTCTGCATTAAACCAGTCCCTCTAAATGTATTTTTCGGCGATGCGGTTAACTCCATTTAATTGCTTTGCATACGAATAATTGTTTGCCCTTCTCTTATCCATAATTTGTGACACACCATTATGGATGCTGCTCCTCTCTTACATTACAACTTTTCCAGGACGCTAAACTAATGAGATATTAATTTTACGCCGAAGAAAAGGTGGTCAAAGCATTATTTAATTGTGCCGTGTTTACCGACCATAAAAAGTGCTTCCTCAGTTGGCGTTTTAATTTTTTTTGCCCCAAAGGAATAACAGAAACACCTAGATTTATGTGAGGTTAGAATGTGACAGCAAACCCACTGAATGGATTTGCTGGCCTAATGAATCCCTATTTTTTTAGCTATAGTAACCCCGATTCTTTCTGTGTTAAAAGCTGTTTTAATGATATATCGAGCTCTTAATTTAAGTAGCATTGGAAAGCCAGCACCACAACCCCACATAGACAGTTTAAAGATATTTGAACCTCATTTTCTAAATTTTGCAGCATTATTTTTTAATTTAAGCCGAAAACTAGACATATTTAGCCCAAAGTTTAATGTATGGCGTGTTTTTAAGTGTTTTGAAGTAGTGTTTTGCATGGTCGAAACTGCTTACGAAATAAGAAATCGTATCTTCAAATGAAACGCCTAAAGCTAGTTCGATGTTTTAACATGCTACTTATACGAATCATAATATGAAGAAGTAAGATTATTATAAACTCATCAGATTCGTGTGGATCTCTAAAACCTCCGAATAACGTTTGAAATTTTTAAAGAGCGCTATACTGCATTTTGGCAGACTAAATTCGGGTAGGTTTAATTTACATGTAGCTGATATTATCATATTGCAGTTCCTTAATGTGACCGCATTACGTTCGCAAGTGTTCTTCAACTGCACGCCCGTTCACGAAATTGGTTGTATTGGAAGCGCTTGAGACTAGTCGGAATTTGGGATATTGCTGTGGCGGTAATGTTTGCAAGTGTCAAGCTTGTTCCATTGCTCTTTGCCCACGCATTTGTCGTGGGGCCGTCTACATGCAGATAATCGAAAAGGCAGACAACAAAGCGCAGCTTCCTGTCAAAGGGGAGGGGGTATTTAAACACGCGGTTAATCACTAATTCGGACAACTTCAAGCACAATACAAATTAGTGGCGGGATGTTTAGCCACCTCGCGGAATAGCACTTTCCATAGGTGGCTGACTACGCTCCGGTCACTGATAATTCCGTCCACAGTAGTTCGTTTACAGGCATTTTGAAAAATTGCTGACGTTTTTTGACCAATTCAGAGGGGTTGTATAATGCAGCAATTTTGAAGGAACACTAAATTTTTTGGTATATTTTTTAGTGGTAACCTGGATGCATTCTATCATGGTGACTATCAAAGGAGTGGAGGTCTGTTAATTCACTACCAACGATAATCAAGTGTATCAAGCTGTCCCAAAGTGCACCAGCAGCAATGATAAGCCTTTCGATACTTGAGATCTCCAAGTGCCAGTTAAGGCCTTAAATAATGGCATAAAGGCAGCGGAGGTCAAAAAGTGCAAAAAAAAACAGCTGAAATCCCTTAGTATTTGTTCTTTTCTTTCATAAAGTCAAATTTTTCGGTTAAACACGAATTCTCTTTAGAAGATGCCTAAATATCCTGATATAAATAGTGCCATTTGACTTGAAAATAAGGTTTATTTGCCTCACTAGTGGTGGACCGAGCACGAAAACACGGGATGGAGAAGTTTGTGAGCATGGAGCCGTGGCGCAGGTCGCACGCGGAGCTCTTCCCCCTGCTGCAGTCTAGATGTCTGGAGTTCCGTATGCAGGATCAATTCGTTTCCCTTGGATGGTTCTCGCCCTCGCAGATGTTCGTACTTGACGAGTACTGCGCCCGCTACGGGGTGCGTGGGTGTCACCGACACCTCTGTTACCTGGCGGACCTCCTTGATCGAGCCGAGCACGGCGTCATGATTGATCCCGCGTTGGTTTACTACTCCTACGCTTTCTGCTCTAGACACATCCTCGGCAATACGTACGTCGATTCCCTTCCCTACTACTCTTCATGTTTGAAAGCATTAACGTTTTAGCGTAAAAAACTAGCGAAGCAATCCTTGGCCAAGTGTCAGCAATTTAAAGCCGGACCTACATTTGCTCGTCGGAACTCATTTCGTTGTCTTAAATTCAGCATGTTTTCCCCTTGGTTGTCTTACTGCTTTAAGCTACGAACTATGAAATCAACTTGACAGAAGTCAGTATGTGCATTTAATTCAACATATGCGGTTCTTTTTTACTCGTCTCTACCTGCGATAACGCCTGTCCATAAACTCCACAGCACTGGTTTTAGAAATAATTAGTCAAAAACCCAAACTCTCAAAAATATGGTATAAAGACGTAGAAAATCTTCTTTTTTTCAAACATGGAACCCCTTTTGTTTTGGAGATTTTATTGTGTTGCTCATAATGCGACCCCGTCTTTCTTTGGAGTACGCTTCTTCTAGTTTGATAAAGCGATTCTCACTTTGTTAATTTATTTAAAACTGGACTTAAGACTAAGAACAGTTTTTCCTCAGGTCGTACAATTAGTTTCGCCTTGTTTGAATAAGAGATTTAAATTAATCTTAAGCTTTGTGTTTGTCTAACTCTAGACCTAAACAGGTTTAAATTCTCTTATAAGAATCTATTTCGGGGACTCATAGCCGAAGCACGCTTTGGCTACCGTCCATTCACATGATCTTTCATCAATCTGATCAGTAGAATTTGCAAATAGTGCGCCACTTCCACTGTTTTCAGCATCAAATTTACAGCATCTATGTGGATAAAAATTGTTGCAAATATAGTACTGCTGAACTTCGAATACAACTTACACGAGCACAATTTTTTAATTAGCTTGGGAAAAATCTCATTTTGTCTCCTTGAAAATTATTCTTTGTCATCCGCTACTACCCACTTCCACTATTTCAATTCCGTCATCTTTTATTACAGCACTTTAATGAAGATCAAATTCCTTTTACCACTGTGGCAGTATAACGCCAGAACTAGTTGTCACTTCAGCTTGCCTCACTATCTCATGCTACATGGAAAATTTCTCGGAGTGTACCCATTTCCTAAAACATGATTAAGGGCGCCTTAGACGAATACCTTCTTCTTCTGTCCTGGCCAAAATCCCCCTACCTCAGGTTCTTTTGAAGTCCATGGAAGTATGAAAACATTACTATTTGCTGCTGCTCACTTCTCAAGGGACTCCAAATCTAACCAAATTATACTGTCCGGTCCCTACCTATTTCTTTTTTCGCTTATTATGTTTGATCTTTTCTAGAGTAATGTAACCAGTCTCTATTTAACAAGGTATCATCCAATGTGTGTTTGCACCCAGGTTGATGCTAATGTAAACCTTTTATCTTCTTGGGTCGCTCAAATGCATGGGCCCAGTACAATTCGTAATTATCTCTTTGTGGGTTTTATCACAACGATCTGAGATTTTTATCAAAGATAAATGGGTGAACTTTGGCAGAAGTGCATTGGAGCAGATTTATGGAGAATATTTTAGGAGTGCATGAAGTATACTTTACTAAGTGTGTTCAAATTCAAACCTTCGACGGCAGAGGCTTAATGAGTGGATGTAGGGAGAAAAGCAGATAAAATAGGCTATTCACCCCTTTTTTCTTCCTGACAGACAAGACAGCGCAGTGAGGACAGTGCTTGTTGAGGAACGGGAGATGTTCTTCGACATCCGCGCACGTCTCTCCGCCCTGTTAGAGAAGCAAATCACCGAATTCCGCTACTACTTTCCCTTCGGACGTCCGGAAGGTGCACTTAAACAGACCCTAGGTCTTCTTGAGAGAGTAAGAGTAAATTGAAACTGACTTTTTTATAGTTGCACATTATTTGGAGTTTTTTTCTGCAGCCACCCACTAGTTAAACTAAAGCAGGGCAATCAGTTAAAACTATTAAAGCAACTCCATGGATTTTCCCTAGTTTGTGCATATTTATTTAATGAATGGATAAATGGATACTTTATTTCATAGTTCATATACCGGCCTACAATTATATACAGACTTAAGACCTGGGAAAGGCGAGTCTTGCCATTTTATGCTCCCCCTCTCTGATACGCCTTTTCTGACCGGAAATAAACGGGTACTGAGTGTTCATCGGCACACCAAGCAACCACTTCTTTGAGGTGATCAACCGTTTTCCTTAAGTTAAAATCCACTTATTTTAAGCAACTAATGTATGATTGCACAAGTGTCGCCTTTTGGACCACTCCTTTTCGCTCTTCATGCAAAAGGGCTATTAGAAGTCAAATGTTAACATCCCTGCATCTTCTCTCCCTTTTAAGCCTCTTTCCTTAACTTTTGAAGTGGAAAAATAATTCCACCCATTCTTCAAAACCTAGAAATCAAAGAATATTTGCAATTTTCGGGCAGTGTCATTCAACGGGAAACTTGCACTATCACCTTTGTTGAAAAGGTCGTATTACAGGTAGTACAATTACATGGTCTTTCATGCTAAAGGCTAATGAAAATACACAAGGATATAATCCGACTATCAGATCTTACATTTGTGAATCGGAGTTAATTTTGGAGCTATTTAAATTATTTACCAATAATACCATTTATTTTGCTTTAATTCACCGTCTTAACAATTCGCGGCAGTCTGAATGTCGAGGGTTGGGCAGTAAAGAGGCTGAATCATCGACTAAGAACGGAGTGACAGGTAGCTAATTGCAATGGACAGTTGGACAAAGCGATGCAGCATTTTGAGTGCTTATCTGACTGCCCCATTGGGTAGATCTGAGACCTCAGTTCAAGAAACTGTCATCTCTTAAGTGCTGCAAATATTAGCCTTCTAGAATTCAAAAATTCGAATTTTCGTGGAAAATATGGCAAGTCATGGTTATTTGTTTTGAGATGAGACTAATGTGGTTAAAAAGTGGTAGACTTTTTAAAATTATCTTGTTTTAGCCTATTAAATATTCGAAGAACTGGGGAGAATTTCATCAGCGCCTTTTTGGTGCATATTTTAAGCGGGATAGTGAGGCGGGATTAACTAAATGGGGAGATTAGTTAAGCTCAATGTGGATTATGTGCGACTCGAGCCTGTCTCTTTTACAGGTACCCATTTCAGTAAGCTCTCGGTCATTTAGGGCTAATAGCAGGATCAAAAGTGCTCCTTTGTAATTAAGCAAGACTGTTGTGATCTACAAATTTAGCCAAGTAATTTACATCAGAAACTGCTCACGAGTGCGCTTTAAATCTGAAGTTTGGCCAATCTTATAGTAATACCACTTTCCATTTTTGCTGCTAATACTCACTACCATTTTGGTATTTTTTGAAAGCTTTGGTAGGCATTTATTGAGAGTGTTTAGGCAGGCGGTAATTGCGGGCCTCATATGGCAAAGGAAATTGTTTTCCAACATGCATGATGGGCCAGTGTAAGATTTTACGGTAGAATAACTTTCGCCCCATGCACACTTGCAATTTCTACTTTTCAACAATAGACTTTCCTTTTTTAATTAGCCACCCTTTTTTCAAACATTCTCCTACTTGAAAAATATGCCGAAAATTTTTTTTGAGCTATAGCTGATTCCCATTTCCATAAATTTAATTTACACCTCCAACGTATACTCTCTGCCTGGTATTACAATAATATCCAGTATTCCTTTCCTGGGCTGAAAGATGTGATGGAAGTATTCCCTCATTCAAAATATCAATTCCTACGCATTTCCACTTCTTCTTCTCATTGTTATGTTAATTTTTTTACTAGTTGAGGTAATTCGTACACAAACGTTGTTGATACTTTATCTCGGAGACAAGTTTTACCTTTATTGTTATTCTGAATTTGTTCTCATATTTGAGCAGAATTTTTGAAATTAAAACTGTGCACAGGTTGGCGTGACACTATTCCATTGTAAGAAGCAACAAATGAAAAATCAAAACATTATCATGACGTGCAATGATTTTTCGTAATAGCTTTAGGGCCACTTTTACTTCGTAGTTAATTTTATGAGCTACTTTTGCCTTAAAAATAGGTCCTCATGAAGGATAACGGTGCTCCTGCATCAGTTGAAGAAGTCAGAGGCGTTATTCGAAATTGTCTTCAACAGGCCGCTCTCGTAAACTACTCGCGGGTGTCCGAATATGCATCCATTGAAAGTGAGCTCCCGATCATCTCTGTACCAGTTGCAGGTTGAGAGTTAAAGGGAACACTTTCCTCGCATGCAGGATTCAACTTTTGTATTGAATAAACTTCGCTTTAGATTTGAGAGTCACAATGCTCATCCATAAAAGGCAAATTTATTTTAAGTAATCGTACTAGTATAAATAAATTAATGGTTCCAAAAAATGGTCTCTTCACTTTTTAGGCGGTCAAGATACTGCAGGAGATCCACCCAGTAAGTTTCCATACTCCTGTATCACGTCTAGTTATGCCTTGAAAATGATCCCAAGACACTGCATATAAAATTTTTGTGCTGTTGTATCAAACCGTCAGGACTTTTTCTGCGATGGATTTAAGCTTACAATGAGCATATGAAATTAATCTGATCAACGTAGGTCCCGTCGTTGTAAACACTGGCATCTGGCTTAAATGTACTGAAATCTCCTATTTTACGCATTTGTTAATTCAAAGAGTTGGGTTGGCATTTGAATTCTTATAATTGCTAAGATTTGTTTCCAGCTTGTCTTATTCGTTGTAAATTGTCTTGTTGACATGACATTTTACTGCCTTGATGACTTGCTTGATGAATGATTTAGATTCAGCAAAATCAATCTCTGACCTCATCCACCTCGCTGAACTGTGCATTGAAGTTTTACGACAAAATGAGGAACATCATGCCGAGGTTTGTTTTTTCATCTAATTTCATACTATTTACCCTCTGTTTGGCGGTATTATCAATTGATTATATCGACAAAGTTAGGTTGCAATTGTAGAATAACAAAAATCCCTTTCTAGTATTTTTTTAAAAAATGTGATTATGAATATTGAAAGTGTTACCTTTTAGCTTCATTTTCCAATTAAATTAGAGTAATGGAATTGATGGGGGTTTTAATCACGGATAAGGCTATGAAAAGATATAAGCGCACATTTTCCGGTGAAAGATAATCTACTTTCGTATGTTTTATCTGAATGCATAGGTTTTACCCTTACTAGTACAATATTACTGATATGACCTCAAAGAATTGAAAGTTGAGACATCAGGAGAGTAAAGATTCAAATTTATATATGAAGGATTGATTTGAAAACTGCCTGAAATATTGACCGGTTGCTAGGATAGCAAGCTGTATAGGCAAATCCTGCAAAGCGCAGACTAGTCAAGCTGCTTTCATACATCCACTGGATGGTCTGAAAGCCTCACATATTTAAGTAGCATTGATTAAATGTTGTGCACGCTGGTACTTTTTACTCCGATGGACATCTCTATTAATTTCCCGGATCCTTCAGTCCTTCGCCTGGTTCAGCGATCTACTCACAGAGCACGCTGAGCTTTTCTGGTCTCTCTTTGCTGCCGACATGGTGATCGTGATGGAGAAAATTCCACCTGATTGTTGGGACGCCTTTCCTCTCTTCCAAGTGCTCAATGACTACCTCATAACAGAAGGTGGGATCTCTCTTCTATTTTAAGTTTTATAGGTTGTAAAATTTACACTTGGATCAACTATCTGCATCTAAAGTCGATTTCTTTTAAAACTTAACAATAATATGGACGATGTAACGCATGTATAGTGATTTTTAATCTACTGTTGAATTTTCTGTGCCTTGGATTCAAACCTGCATTTACTTTTTTATACGGAACTCTAAATGAAGAAAACGTAAAATGTCTGACAAAGTCAGTAGCATCGCAAGTTGTGGTGTTTGCTGAAATTTGGTTGCCTTTGAGTAACAAAGATGTGTTCTCATCCTACATTGTACAGAAAATGATCTGTACCGGCCATTGTATCAATGCCATCTCGGGCTAGAAAATTTTACGTTGCAGGGATGTATTCACAGTGGGGTTTTTTTACACATATCTTTGATTTCCTAGACTTTGCTGGGAACCATTTAACCAATAAAATATTTTTTGATCGCGCTACTTCCACAAACTATTAGCGTAGATACTTACTCTCTTTGGGATTGTGTCAATCACAACTAGGTAGCTGTCTAGCATTACAGCAAATTCATTCCACTGAAAGGCGAACAATTTGAATATAACTTTAATTACTACTTTCATATTACTTCATTTGTGGAGATAAACCTGCTTTACTAACCTCTAGTAGAGCTGGTTTCCAGATCCAAAACTAACATCTTTTCTACGGTATTTTGTATCCTTTAGAAAGCCTGAAAGAGGGGAAATTCCACCAACAGATCCGTGAGATGTTCGCCCCTATGGTGATCCGATATGTGGATCTCATGGAGGCCTCTATCATACAGTGCATTCGCGGCGTGCCTCTCGTTGAGGGCGGGGGTAATGGTATGCATACCATGATGAACGGTGCCGAACATTCCGGTGGCGGACTGGCCTCGGCGCTAGGCAGTGTGGGCAGTTCTATCGCTTCCGCGGCCGTCAACGCAGCCAACGCCGCCGCGGTGGGCAGCGGCAACCTCGTCTCAGCTGCGGTGAACGCCGCAAGTGGAGGTGGTGGTGGAGGTGTGGGTGCTGCAATTCCTGTCTCCTCTGAGGAGCTCATTTGGAAACTAGAAGCACTGCAAACCTTCATTCGGGAGCTCCACTGGACTGATACAGTTTTTGCAGAACATCTAGACAATCGGCTCAAAATGATGGCTGCTGACATGATTGATGCGGCTGCAAACAGGTGAGCAGACAGTTTTAAATCATTTCCAACGCAGTTAACCACAAATATAACCTGCTTTCAATTGTAATCAATGGCTTTTGAAACAAATCTTCCATCATTTACGTGTTAGCTGATCGGTTTATGGATTAAGCTTTGTCGAAAATTATTGTTACATCAAAAAATACCAGTCTTGAGTTAACTCATAAGTTCACTAATTGTATAACAATAGATATCTATTATTAAGCAAATATTAAGTCAATTTCTTATCAAGATGATGGTTTATCTAAAGTACTAGAAAACTCTGTTTGCATTCAATTCGGCTTTTGTGGATGGCGAAGCGTGTTTCCTTGATAGGAACTTGGAATGCTTCGACGCATGGCTCAAGCGATCGTCAAAAGGCGCTGATTTTATTTTGCCCAACGAGTGCTGCAATATGATCAACACGGTTGCCGCGCTCAAGGCAAATATTCTAAAGTTGTGCACTAAAGAAGTACAAGGTGAAGATATGGTAGGTTTTCTTACTCTATCTATCAAAAGAAAACGAGGATCCCTGACTGGTTTCGTAACTTAAACGTAGAAAATGGGTAGAATAAGGTATATCAAATTTCAGAATATGTAGGGATCACGCGTAAACAAATGCAAACGATTTGGTTGTCGGATTTTTCAAATTGGATGGCCCTATTCACCTGACTGTTCCATCTCTCTTATTTAGCATGAGTATCAAAACCAAACAGAGGCTAACTTGGAAAAAATTCAACGGCGCATGGCGTACATTTTGAACGAAAAACTCAGCCACGTTCTTGAGGGAACTCTCACCAAACTTGCTCGCTACGACTGCAATACGCTCCTCTCCTCGGTTCTCTCCCTAACGGTATGGAGAGAAATAGAACTTCGTGTTTATTGTTTTTTGTTGAAGTTAAGTTAAACTACGCTGCTTCTGTGGTGCACTTGCCTTGTAGAAGCCAACAGACGAGGTGGGAAAGGCCTATGTGGAATTCATGCGAGTGAATTTGGAACAATTACGACAAAAACTCTCAGACGAAGTCTACGTCCTCTCTGGAATGGAGGTTCGTTTACCCTCAATTAGGCCGAAATACTGCATGAACTGTAGTGAGACACATTTATGGTGATTCAAGGGTCCGACTTGATGGAATTATAAATTTGATGCGCCTCGGCACACGGGTACCATCAATGCATATCTTTTATGATGGTAATTTTAAAAGCAATAATGGAGAGTTTGTAAAATCCAATGCATGAGGATGAAACTTGGGATAAAATGTCAATTCCTGGACTAAATGTCATAAAGGGGTCGCCCGTAAGCCACTGCTTTCACCTTTTCAGGCGTGGTATATGTCCCAGACTCACATGATCAATGAGTGGTTGAATGAACGAAAGAATCATTCTCTCCACCCATACCAATTCACTTGCCTTTCCACGATCATGAAGGTACGCATGCAATCGGTTGTTTACAATTTCGACACTAATGAAGACGTTAAATTTTTTGCCAGTAATCTATTCTTTTTCTATTGGATGGGTGCTTAGTCTTTCATCGCTTAACAAGGCCTATTGTTTTGATTCTCCGCAGAAAATGCATTCCGACTTTGAACTCCAGGGGATTTCTCCAGACGCATTAGACACCATGATGTACAAAAATATCTCCCAAAGGCTGCAAGTGAGCCGACATTTTTAAAAACTGCTCATTGTTTGAATAATTTATGAAGCTTTGACCTAATGAGCATTTACCGCTCAGTCTAATTTGATGCGCTATTTTCATATCTTTACTTACAAAGCAACGCAAACAATACAGGGTGTAACTTTAATGACTTAGGAATTCAGCACCTTCTATTTGCAAAGCTAATATTCTTTGTTGGGAGTTGAACTTTAGGGATAGTTCCCAAAAAATAAACAGGTCTGAATGTGGTGTCGCCACCTATGATGCCACTTCATTTGTGAAACAACCTGCTACACGTTGTTCTTAAAACGCCAAAGACATCGGGACATCGGAAAAAAATTAAAGGTAGCAAATGCGACTCTCGTACAAGATTTTGGTTCTTTTTCATCAAGCGATGTTAATTAAGAATGTGGTTGTGGCAGTTGTAATTTTATATCGAACTAGGTTGAAGAAGCCACAATATCAGTGCAATCCAACTCCAATGCAAGTCCAACCCGATCCATTTTGGGCACCATAACCGGTGGTATAAGCGGCCTCTCCAGCAGTATTCCTAAGCCCAGTTTCCTCAGCCGAATCGGCTAAGCATTCTCTCTCCCCCCTCGTCCACACATCCCTCCTCTGGCCTACTAAACGTCCCCTTGGGGCCACCTTTTCATAGTAGATATGCAATATTCAGTGGATCTTTCTGCACCATTCACTCGGCTGTTGTGACCTTTCCTTCCTCTACTCCCAATGGTACTCCTCCTCACAAGAATACACAAACAGAAGCACATGCACACACATACCAGTGAAAGCACACCTCTCATACCTGTGCATCTTTGAATCCTCGCTCGTCCGTCTGCAGTAACGTGCCTATTTACCTGAGGATGCTGTATTTCCACGATGGACGCTCAGCAATGTTTATTTTTGTTACATTCGACGGGCCACAAAATTGAGGTGAAGGCGGATTCCACCTCCCTCTCTCGCGTGTTTCGACCACGCATGAACGCTTGCTTCTTCCCCTTACTGGTAACATAAAAGCTGCGTAATCATCAATAGGGGTTGTGTGTACTTGTGGATAGATGTTTACGTGTATTTTGATGCATGCGACACTTAATTCCCTTCTCCTTTTTTTAGAAGACACTTAATTTTCAACCGGAAATAAACGGCAAACACATAAATGCGTGCATCTGTCAATTCACTGGGTGAGCAACAAAAAAGCTCATGTGGCCCTCTGTATAACT